TTTTAAAGTCTTAGAGTACATCACTTCCGAGGAACTTCCAGAGTCTATCAACACCCTTTTAACGTCGAATTTACCTATCTTCAGGGTTAAGACAAGGGCATCGTTATAAGGAGTCACCACGCCTGTCAAGTCCGCGTCGAAGAACGTGATGCTGGGCTCCCCAGTCCTGGCCCTTTTACTGGGTGGCCCCCCATCATCCTCAGCTACCTTCCTTGTAAAAGCTATCCTCTTGAGATCGGACTTGAGTTCCTTGGACATGGGGCGATCTAGCGGACATACATGGATGACATCTATGACATTGTTCGGCTCCTCGGTCGGGGCAGGGATTTGTCTCTCTTCCGGGCCTGGACTCTATGTATTCTTTCAAGTATCCGTCTCGGACCAACCTTTCCAAGAACGATTTGTATACCCTGCAGCTTTCGGTGCGATGTCCGAAATTCCGGTGATAGGAACACCTAACCTTTTGATCACGGGTGGAGGGATCGCTCTGCATCCTGGACGGCCACTTGAAGAATGACTCATGCTTTATCTTGTGGAGCAACTTGAAGATGGGTTCTTTGAACATGGTGTGAACTCCTTTGGACGCCCCCCCGGAGGGGGTAGCAGTCCCTTTCGGGGAGTATCCTCCCGCTCCCTCTCTTTTCTCTTAGATTGGAGGGTTCGGCCTTTGCTGTTTCCCATCTCGTCCTCGATCCTTGAGTATTTGTTTATCCGGGCCATCATCTCGCCCATATCCGAGGGAGTCTTCTTGGTCAGGGATCGGTACAGGTCCGTGTCCCTTGCCAAGCCGAGCCTAAAAGACGCCACTGCCATGACTTTCGAGCAGCCTTCTACCCCATTAACCTCTTCCCAGTACCGGATGGCGTACTGGCGAAGGGTCTCGGATTCCCTACGTCTGAGCGTTAGCAATGATCCAACATCTTTAGGCTGCTTACTCCTCGTAATGAATCGAGCCAGGAACTGCCTCGTCAATTCCTTCCACGATCCAATGCTGTTGGGGGGAAGCGCCTCGAACCACTTCATCGCAGAGTCCCCCAAGCTCATAGGAAACACTCGGCAGAGGAATCGTTGGTCTGAATGATACAGGGACATCATTTGCTTGTATTGCCTAAGATGGGCTTTGGGATTGGACCGCCCGTCATAAGTTTTGAACCTCGGCACGACGAACTTTCTTGGAACCTCCATCTCTCCGATCTCCCTGGTGAAGGGTGTTTGTATGACCTCGTCTTCGACCTCATCCTGGACAGCCTTACTCTTTCTCCTGGATTTCAACCAAGTTTTGAGATCAATTTCCTCCCCAACGGGATGTCTTCTGAAGTCCCTGAGTTCATCAATAGGCCCCCCATTTCCTGGGCGCCGTGTGGATAAGGTTGAATCCTCCTCGGACATCTCCCTTCCTCCGTCTCGACAATCCTCGCCGGAGGTCGTCCAGGGCTAAAGGCCTTGCCTTCCTGGAATGATCGTTAAGAGGGTGCTCGTTGGCTCTCGGTCGCTTCGGGGCCCTGGAGCTTTCTGCCTTATTGTTTAGATAATTCCTTAGATCCTTCGTTTTTGCCTCCCGGGTGGGGAGCCCACAAGAAAGGAATGAGTCCCTCGACCCTTTGCCGGAGGCGACGAATTCGTTGAGCCAGCTTAGGACGTTTACATTGTCCTTTTCCAGCTGTCGTAATCGATCCCCAAACTTTTCTTCGATCACCTCCGCCAGCTGACGAGCCAAGGGGGCTGATCCTCCTGACCTGATTCCCATACTGGTTTGAGGGGTAACCCCTCTTGACTGATTATAGGCATTTTTATTCCCATCAGTGTGATCCCTCCCTCCATTGTGACATGGAGCTTGTAATTCGAGACTTCTTTGCTGGGGACTTTTCCCTTTTTGTCGAGTATTCACCATGGTCACTGTTCTTTATAGAGAAGAAACTAGGAAAACTAGTCGTTTCCCACAGACGGCGCCAGATTGTGCGTGCTGGATCTTGCACAATATAAACACGAGAACAAATCTCTCCCTTGGTGAGCTCGAGTGAGTCAGTCGAGTGGTCAACCCTGCTACTTGGAACAACCTGTAAGGTCCGGTGGTAACCTGGAATGGTAATGGGAGACCCTCGTGGATCAACGGAACAATCCAGTAAGGCTAAGGAAGGTTCCTAGAACAAAGAAAGACAAGTTAGAAGGGCGCCGGAGTGTTTTTCGGCGTATCCCCTCCGACGATCAAGTCAATTTTTGAAAGAGAAGAAGAAGAAAACACTAAGTATAATTTGTAGCAAAGGTTTTTCGTTGCATACCGTTTTGCCTTTTACGAGGAGTATTTATACCTCAAAAACTCATGATTGTTGTCAGTGTAGTCAGTAGGTGATCATTAGGTACAGGCAACATGCGCACTGACTCCAATGAGGAATGTCTTTTCTTTTAACTGCTCGGGATCTCGAGCAACCAAGGCTGTGTCATCGGCCTGCCGACTATTCAATAAGCTCCTCTCGGCAAGGATGTAATAAATGTTAGACCTTAGAGACATTTATTACATTTCACTTCCGAGCCTTACCGCATTAAATGTTGTCTCATCAAATGAATGGTATAATTAAATATTTGCTTTCCCAAATCGTGTGTCAGCAAGGGCATCCGGTCTTCTGTCTCTGATGTGACACAATATGTCACGCGTCCATTCCCCATTAGCTGTGTCCCCTGCCCTCCTATGTCTTTTGACACCAATTGTGTAAGACGAGGTCATGATAGCTAACCTAGTCTAGCCTAGGCTAGTGACCTGTAAATCAATAGCCTCTGCAGGAGCAGAGAACGTCACCCTGGACGGAAGTACATCTCGGACTCGAGGGAGAGGTTCATCTCGGACCTGAGGGGAGGTACATATAGCAAACGATGTACCCATATCAGACCGAGGGATACGTGTCAGTACGTAAACGCACTGGATGTCACTTGATCCTTATGACAAGTACCTCGGGGGATAGGAACTTGTGAGCCGATAGGTACGTGATCTCAGTAATAAGGATTTAATGACACCGAGAACACGCGTCTTCATCTTGTAGTATTTCAAAAATATCTCATCAATTACTGACGTGATATAATAAATACACTCAATATTTTTTTCTAAATCTTTGTATTGTACACAATATAAACCTCTGCATGACTAAACTCTTACTAAATTACATCTACTCTACCCAAAAAAAACGACAGCAGCGTCCAATTTCAGTATTTAGTTAGTTTAAAAAGGGTGGGTATGGTCAAAAACTTCCCGATTTGGTAACAGAGAAGGCAGATGTGACATGAAGTTCTATTTTCAACTTCAGACTCAGTCGCCTCCCAAGTGTATTCCTTCCCAAGTCCATGTTGCTTTCAGTTGAAAGGACGGACTCGGGAGTCAGGTGGCGTCAACAATTTTTCGTATCCACTTGTAAATATCTACCTATCTTGACCGGGGAAGTGTCTTACATCAACTCCAAGAGATACTTCGAGTAATGATATTCAGGAATCTCAAATTTAAATGTCTTATATATAAATTTTGATAATTTTTTAAATTTGGTTATGAAAAATTTATTTTTAATGAATATTATAGTTTTAACATGGTGGCCTAGCTTCAACTGGATCGAGAAATGAATTAGTCGAGATGCGCGTAAGTTAACTCAGACATCCCCGACTGTTAAATTAAAAAAAAAACCTCCTAAATCTAGTAACATGTAGAACACAAAAAATTAATGAGGAAATCAATAAATATTCGTAATTATGATACCATATCATCGATGACACGTAATATTATCGACTCATAAAAACACTATGTAGAATAAATAAATTTCACTATTTCAAGTTGTTTACTTATCATACATAGTTTATTTTAAATGTTTAGTGATACTACTTGTTACTAATAACGTGATATTATCTCTGATAATAGAGATTTAGAAAGGACTTGAAATCCAAAGGCAGGCACATGAAAATTGGAAGCTGATAGCTCCTTAAATATGCCTAAGGTTGAGCTCGGTTTCTTAAGTTATGCCCTCGCAGGACGGGAGATCAGTTGCCTGAAGACCTTGACTCCAAACCTCGAACTCCCTATATTTGCATCTCAAGGAAGGCGGTGTAAAATGTAGTTGACTTCAACCAAGCACCCCCTCGATCGTAACAATCACTTATCCAGGCACAAAATTCGTAAACGCCCTAACACCCACCATTGTCGTCATACAATAAAAACAGCCGTTACGAGAAGAAGGCAAGGATCTCGCCATAGATCTGACTAGACCCAGGGTCAAGTATAAATAAGATTCAAAACCCTCAACATAAAGGACAAGCGATGGTAGTCTCACTCAAATTTTCTCTATAAAATTTTCCGTTATCAATATATTCCCTATGAGTAAGAGACTCTTTTGAGAGTAGATTAGTCGCGCTTCCGAATTAATGAATCATTATAAACTCTTTGTGTGATACCTCATTCCCCTAATCCTATTCTCAAGAGCTTTGGAGCTCACACTGAACTAAATTAAATTGTTCAGTGCACCTTGCATTCATTCCTTTGCCCTGTCGTGTTATTAACATCATCAGAAGCAAACAACAAGCTCACCCACCATAATAATAAATATTTTCAAGGGTTATCTTACCAAATTCTTCATATTATAAATTCCATCTCTCTCTCTCTCTCTCTCTCTCTCTCTAATATGCAGCCCTTTTCCCTGCATTATAAGAGAGAAAAAAGTTGATCCTCAAATCTCTCACATGGTAGATTTTCAGTCAGTCAAATGCACATGCTATTTTTGTAAATTGGTAGCATAGTTTAAGAGAATTTGTAGGTCATGAGGGAAGCGTAAGAACTCAACTAAGCAGATGGAATTGAGAAGCTAGGCACAGGTCGTGAGCAGAGTTTTACACATTAGATGTTAGTCTTCTATCCCTGTAAACACATCAATGAAAGGATGCAAAATCTCAAACAATCAGCCGCATGGCGGAATACCTTCGAATTCAAAATTGCAGAAGTTAAGATTCCCATCAAATACTACATTGAAGGATCAATTAAAACGTCTCCACAAACTGAGGAAGGAACTAGTTTGACCAAAAGGTACACACACTTGGCTCACAGGACCAAAAGGACTGAATAGCTCAACCAAGTCAGCCTTCCGGGTGTCCTCTGAAAGGTTGGTCACTCGGACAAAGTTCTCCTCATTCCTTTGTCTCATGTCAGCACCACTTCTCTCTGTACCTGCTCTCTTGCTGAGGGGAACATATGCTTCTTTTGTGACACCAGAAGCAGTAGACAAAGCTTCTAATACAGAGGCTAATCATTGAAGCTTTCACTCTGTGGTGCGAGATGCTTGTAAGGACACCTTGATGTCCAGTGGTCACCCTTCTTGCCACAAGTCCCACAAACCATAAGAACAGCACCTCCCTTCCCCATTAGAGCTAAGGGGTCTCCAGCAACCTTTGTTTCTTCAGGCTTCATACCTACAAGTCATTCCAAAATTTGAAGGGAACAATTACAGAACAACCATAATTGTAACTTGAAAAAAAGGGCATGGAAATGCATATTTTAAAAAACCGCTAAACAAGTAGACAAAGAACATCCAAGCATGAGGGGGAAACATGACTATACAAAAGTCAATCACTTAAGGGCCATCATTGATAGCATCTCAATGATCAGACTGGAAAATAACCATTAAGCAAAACACTTCGGGCCAATAAATGGTCAGTTTTTTTCTTTGACCTTTTTCTACATTCTTTTTATGCCACTAGAGTTCTTATTCTTTCACATAAGGAACATTCACATGTATAAAGATTCAAGATACCACGTATATTTAATACTTTCATGAAAGTACTAATAGCTTAACATGAACTTATATCAACACAGGATATTTATTATCTTTAGACCATAAGGGTAATAACATGAACTTACATCATTTTCCATTCTAGAATGCAGATATCACGAGGAATATAGTGCAACTAAGCACACCGCGACTTGCCACCAAATGAATTACAGAGATGGTTGGGATTTGATATAAATATAATACTATCAACTATATACGGTCTCCTTCGTAATTAGACAAAAAGTATAAAAGTACGCAATCCTGCAACACTAACCAAATTTCAAGGAAATCATAGATTTTCTATGGGAGCACCATAATCACTCACAACCACGTAACAAACAAGCATACCGGCCATTCAAAATCGAATCAGCAAACACAATACTGAACATGACTGCCATTGCCCATAACACCCCATTGCACATCATGATAGCGACCCTTCTACTATTTTCACAGGAAAAACTACACATTGAACAGTTGAAGAGCATCTATTCTGACCCCACTGGGCCAAGAACTCATTGGTAGGAAATGACGTAGGTGGATAGGATTGGGTTTTGGAACCTGTTTCTTTCTACTTCGGCCAAAAATAGTGGAAGTAAAATTCCTCTTAAACCAGCAAACAATTTTATCTTATAAACAATACAATCAGAATGCATGTAGATGGTAAAGCAGTGAAGTTTGATAAGGCAAAAGCAATATTAAAGTTGAAGTTATTGATTTGTCAATTTTACGATGAAATCTCAATCTCACATGGTGATCCAACCCAAGGCAAGCAACAACCAACCAAAACCACTATTTATGATATGAATGTTCAATAAACACATAGTGTCCATGTGCGCATCAAATTGTAAATGCTATGAAAAAAACAATAAAGAATATAAACAATTTGTTGACGCGAAAACTATCCTTGAAAAAAAACACAGGAAATCACTCGGAGTTCACCAAATTTTAAGCCACTAGAATCAATCATATCCCTCAAAGTTGCTTGGCACAACAATTTTCACAGTAATAGGCCTTCCGAATAAAACGCTCAAAACAAAATGAAACAATAGAGCATTGTAAATTTTCAAAACATATTGTATATTTAATGTGTACTTTGGTGGGTTTTTAATAGAGTAAAGATAGCTTGTATGGAAAGTAGTGAAAACCCTTGAGGGGAATCCAACATTGGAAAGTGAGGATAAATGGAATGCATCTATTAATAGACACCTATCACATGATGTTACTTTAGTGCCAAGAATGTTAGTGTGTATGAGAGTGCTAATTGGTCTATAAATAGATCAAGAATCGCTCTAGTATCTTGGCAGAATAGAAAAATTCAAAAGTATTCGGGTTTGATTTTGTTTGTGCATTACGCAGTCAAACATCAGATTCAATTATGGGCTTCATTGTGTCATGGAAGTAGATTCGATGTAAAAAGTTGCACACCTTTTTTATCAGAATTGGTGAAGGCGAATATTGTCTTAAGGAAAGCGACTAGGTAACGCGACTTGAAGCATATTACTATCATCTTATTCAGCGCAGAATTTCTGCTCTAACAGCGAGAAGTAGAGTCTACATAAAGTTCCTTTTTAATGTGATTCAACTAGACTCTCTATTGCTAAAATTGACTAGCTAACTCTTCTATTGCTAAAATTGACTAGCTAACTCTTCTATTGCTAAAATTGAATCATTAATCATAAACGTCTTTCAAGGATTTGTATAATTTCAACAAGAACAACATAACATACAGCTTTACACCTACATTATACATGCAGGCAATATAAATGTTTGTGCATGTCTGCATTCCAGGAGCCCTAGGGCTTTCAAGGAGGATTTCTTCAGCAGACACCATAGTAAGCCGACTCCCAACATCCTCATGAACCGCGTCCCTGAACTTGGCCAGGGATCGGCGCGCTTGCTTGGCCGAGCAATAGCTAGCTTGCGGACGGTCCGATCACTTCATTGAACTTGTACTCCACAACTCTTTTCATTTCGTTCTTGTCCGGTCCGATCACTTGGCTCGGTGGTAAAGGAATGCTAAATCTTCTCCGTCTTCTTCATCAACCTCTCCCCATCGGAGCTTGCTCGGCTATGTCGGTGCGTGAGTATCGATTGCCATTGCTGCCTGAGAGAGAGAGAGAGAGAGAGAGAGAGTGTGTGTGTGTGGGGTGGAGCTTCTCTGTTGTTAGAGGTCTAACAACGAAGTTTGTTGTTAAGTGGAACGGTACCGTTCCATTCAAAAATAAAGAATCAATCTGCTCCAGCAGCCAACAAAGCAACGCCGAACGGCGTCGTCTCCCACTTGTGCAGAAAAAAACGCAAAAATAGATCTATTCCTTCCCTCCAATGTGAAATCAGCCCTTCCTAAAAACATACAAAAAAACCTCTCTACAGAGTTTTTCAAAGTTCCAAAGTTTTCATTGATCTTCTCTCTTTTTGTTTCTCGGTTGATTGGCACTCTTACCTTGTCTCTTACAATTTCACACTAATAATGTTGATATTTTTTTAGAATTTTTTATGAAATTTCAATTCATAAAATTTAGAACTTTTTCTTTTAAAATTTCCTGGCACTTCGACCTTATCTCTTACGATTTCATACTGGTAATGTTGATATTTTTTCAGAAATTTTTTATGAAATTTTAGTTCATAAAATTCAAAAAAAAAAAAATTTTAAATTTCCTATAGAATCTTGATAGAATTATGTGACTACCATCATTATTTCTACTACGTTTTTGCGAGTATATTTGACTATTTGATATATATGGTTATTGATGTTTTAGACTTTGGTGAAATTGAGTTATATAGGCTTTGATACATAAAATTTTCTTGTTCATAGGGAACATAAAAAAAAGGTATTTACCTGTTCCATTTGCAATTGAAAATTTATATGGGCAATTTTTGATCTTATGTTTAATTTGTGTAACTATTTGGTTATTGTATGGGACCTAATATATAGTGGAGATGAAATGTGTAAAGATTGATAAAGTAAACAATATTCTATGTATGAGAATTCAATTTGACTCGAAAGAAGATGTTTATAGGTTCTATAACAATTATGGTGGAATTGTGGGATTCAGTGTGAGAAAAGATTATCACAACAAGAGGTTGAAGGATAGTGTATTAATTTATAGAAAATACATATGTTGTAAACAGGGACAAAGAAGTAAAGATCAAATGAATTGGAAAACAATAAAGGCTCGGGCAGAAACTCGAACAAATTATCCTGTTCACATGTGCATATCCCTCAAGAGAGATATTGAAAAATTTGTTGTTGTTAAATGGAAAAACCAACACAATCACATTTTGCACTTGACCAAATGTATGCATATGATGTCATCTCAACAAAAAGTTACTGTAGCTCAAGGCATCGATGTTGATATTGTTGAAGATTGTGGGATATCACTTAAGACGTCGTACGAGCTTTTGAGTACCCAAGTAAGTGAGAGAGAAAGCTTAGGGTTCACTCATCAAGACCAAAAAAATTACATTCGAGAAAGGAGGCAGCGAGACTTGAAATACGATGAAGCGCATACTTTGTTGCAATATTTTCAAGGAGAAGCAGCTAAGAATCCATCATTTTATTATGGAGTCCAATTGGATGCCGAAGATCGCAAAACAAATATTTTTTGGGCTGATCCAGGGATGATTATTGATTATGGCCACTTTGGGGATGTTGTCACATTTGACATAACATTCCAAACAAACAAGGAATACTGACCCTTAGGCATTTTGATTGAATTCAACCAGTTCAGGAAGACGGTGATATTTGGTGTTGTATTATTGTACGATAAAACTACAGTATCATTTCAGTGGTTGTTTGAAACATTCATACAAGCAATGTCTGGGAAGCAGTCTGTTACCATTTTCACTGATCAAGATCAAGCAATGACTAAAGTTATATCTATAGTGATGTCAGAGATATATCATGGGTTATGCTGTTGGCACTTTTTCCAAAATACTTTAAAGCATTTAGGGAACATATATAAGAATGGTTCAAAATTTTCAGCCCAATTTAAAGAGTGCATGTATAGATACAAGGAAGAGCATGAGTTAGTTGATGCTTGAAAATTGTTGCTTGATGAGTATGATTTGCACGATTACAGTTGGATGAATTCAACTTGGACACTAAGAGAGAAATGGACACATGTTTATATGAAGCGAACTTTCACAGCCGGTATGAGGAGCACTTGGCTAAGTGAAAGCTTGAATTCAGCATTACGAAAGTACTTAAAGCCAGATCATGATATTGTTCATTTTTGTATTCATTTTGACAGGGTTTTAAATGATAAGAGTTATAAGGAGACAGAAAAATAATATCAAGCTAGGCAAAAGTTGCCTAGAATGAAGTTGAAAAGAGCTTCTATGTTGGTGCAAGCTGCACAATGTTACATTCCTCCTATTTTTGATTTATTTCAACCAACTAATACACATTCACTCATGCCATGAACCATCTTCAACCAATACGCCAATACATCAATACATCATTTTCAACCAACCAATACACTTTATTTCATAGAAAAAGAATTATAATCAACAAGACAAGCAGATAAACCCTGCTCTGTCCTTATCCAAAAATGCGAGAAAAAACAAGAATTAATAAATAACAATCTTCTTCCTTAAAGCTTTGGTACCCTGCTCTTGCTGCTACAGCTTCCTTGCCTGATCAAAAATGTTTATCAGACTGAAAAAATCAGAAGAAGACTCTTGCTGCACAACCCAATTGGCGGAAAAATTCCTATTTACTGTGTATTCAGAAAATTCAGTCATTCAGCAGCCAAGGTAAGAGTCCAGGCAATTCAGTCATTCACTATGATACCATCTGATGCAATCCTCAATCTCTCATCAATGCAAAGATCATTAGATGCACCAAATGCTTTGTCACCATCACTATACATCAACTGCAGTTATAAATAAAATATATGAATTTTCTCAGTTGAAAAACAACACATTTGAGAGAAATTTAAGAATTAACAACCTGCAAATTCTCTTTCCCCACGGATATGAAACCATTAGACAACACTCTTTTGTTCCTCAAATGTGAAACCCCAAACATCTCTCCATTTTTTATAACCTAATAAGAATGAAAGTAACATTACACTTATTATCGCAAGTATGATATTTGATAAATTGATACCATCCAATCAAGATATAGACTCCATTTGTACTCAATTAAGTCAAAGCATGCATGTGAGGCAATTAGACAAAGTAGGCTTCTAACACTAAAAAGGCATTTCTCAATCTTTATGGTAGGTAAGACTTATCCACTAAAAGGCACCAAGGTGAAACATCCAAGTCTACAAGGAAGCAATTGACAAACTATCAGTTGCACATATTCTCCTAAATGGGGTATAAATTCGCAACAACAATGAATTCACCAGCATCTATAACCCCCAATCTGCACTTCATACAAAACCCAAAACAACAGCAAAGCTTCCCGGACAGTTCTAATAGCCACAATCATTCACCCTTTAATGAGAAAAAACCAAAGAATGTAATCCCTAATTATATTTTGGGGAATAATTACTCAAAAATAATTTCGAATTTCAAAACTTACATTGATGTTAGAGATTCGATTTGGGGGATTGATTGCTCGAAGATGATCGTGGTCGACAAATTACTCAAAAATAGCTCTTGTTTGAGCGAGGATCGCAACGAGGAAGACGAAGAAACCGCATGCTCTTGATTGAAGAAGCTGCACAGCTTGTTCTTGATTATCGATTTTAGAGAAAATCGTCTGTTTTGCACAGGTGGAAGACGATGTCGTAACGGGCTGAAATGGGCACAAATTGGACGACGTCGTTTTGTGACTTTGCTGGGTGCTGGAGTCTTGGCCAAAACGGCACGGTTCCACTTAACAGCAAACTTTGTTGTTAGACCTCAACTGCATAGGAGCTCCACCCGAGAGTATTGGGTGCAAAACGGGGTTTATTATAAGCTAAAAATAGACCATTCATATGGCGCCATGTCAAAATAAGAAAGGTTGTTTTCCGGTGGGGCTCTTGACCTTTCTTACCCCTTGTTTGGTCCGAAAGAATATAGAGGATGGAAATTATATTGACACCCCTACTGTTTTAGTCAATTTACACGAGATACTTCAAAATTTTAAAAAATTAAATAAACATCTATCTAAACCTTTGTAACGGACTGCCCCATCCATCAACGGTAATGGATTTAGGTTTAGTGTCGGATTTGAATTTGGATAAATGAGTCACTACAAAGTATCATGATCACTCTGAAAAATAAAAAATTGAACATTGATCGTGTAAGATTTATATTTTAAATGTGTAGTAATTTAGTGTTTTTCTTGTCTTTAATTATGTAATTTAAAATTAAAGTGGAAAAAAAAGAGAAATATATGTAGATTAGTGAAGTTGTCTAGCATCGGGAGTATGTTAATTGGATTGTGATGATTCTCGGAAATAATAGTTCAAGCCCAGCAACAGATGTTTCAGGGGATAATAGTGAATAGGTTTATTAGGGAGTCAATCTATGAAGAACCGAAGAACACAATATGTAAGTGGTTCACCTCAGCCGAAAGACTAAGGCTACGTCCACTATAAGGGAGTGTCTTACTCCTTGAGATCTTATATTACTTAATCGGCGGCGAATACAATGGTATTACAGGCACTGGGTTCTTATAAGGAATATGTTTCCTATATCTGCTGTGTTTTTGGGTTGGCGAATACAATGGGGTGGAAGAAGATCCCTTATGGTAGGGTAATAGTGTTCTATTTATACGAGTGATCTTCTCTAGGGTTTTCAGTGCCTCCTTCTTCTTTTTTTTTTGATTTTGTAGGTTCTCCCGCCTTCGTCCTGTAGCAACCTTTGTTGTCTGGCGCTACTGTTCATCCGACACTCCTGTTCCAACGATATCTGGATGGTTATGCGAGTCATCCACCTTACTTCAGGGCCTGTGATTGTCGTAGGTGTCAGAAGTGGTCCCTTTGTTTCCAGGACACGTGGCGCAACGGGAGTGCTATGAGGGCTGGGCTAGGCTCTTCGACCCATCCCTTTGGCTGGGTTGGAATATGTTTGGGTTGGGCCTCAGCTCTTCTGGTCTCATTTGGCTTTGTCCTTTGAATTTTGGTATATTTTGCTTTTGACATGAATAGGTTGCAGGTGTTTTTGTTTGGGCCGTTATAATACTAAGGGTTTTCTAGGCTTTGTTGGGCTCTTGGGCCTCGGCGGCCAATATCCATCCCATCATTATCAGAAATGTATAATATTTGAAAGAATTTTTTGTACTGTTGGATCAAAATAAATAAAAACTGAATCAATTTTAATTATTATTATTTTTTTATAAATTAATAATTTAACTTACTACCTGTAATATTATATAGATATTTGTCGAGCTTATCAAGCAAGGCTCATCATAGACTCATACCAAAGTTTTCATCACCAACACATCATGGATAAAAATATAATATACTATGAAATATACAATGTTATGAAGTAAACCACTCAATCCAAGCTCTGATACGCAATAAAATAAAATAAAAATATACAAGAAACAACATCAAATCACTACACCACAATGGAAAACTAGATGAAAGAGTGAACATAGATAGATAAGATTATTTTCTCTTGGACTCCAACAGAGATAACGAAGAAAGTCCATATGGTACACCCTTTCGTAACAAGAAACAAAGCACACACCAATCGGACTTATTTCATGCCATTAAAAACGATGACTCTCTCTTATATCTAAAATATAAATAACCGAATGAACCATAGACGAATCAAACACCAATCACTTAATCAATCATTCCTCGCTGCCACCACGGCCACCATTAGAACTTCCATTGCCACCCATATCAGACATCGCGGCCGTGCTTACCATAACCGTAGCCATGCCTGCAGTGTCGTTGGTGGCAGTATTAGTAGCTCCACCATGAGGCCCATCAACGCCACCTGTACTATTAACGTTTCCCCCATTTTTCAGACTAGACACCTCCGACCCGCGATTAGAAGAATCTCCTCTTTTACGACGAGGAATGCAAAAACACATCTTCTTCTTCTTATTCTTCATTTCCTGTGGAATCTCAGTCTGCTCTCAAATTCTAAGATTGAATATAGAATAAGGGTTATCTAACAAAAGACTTTGTTTGTGGAACTCTCTCTTATATTCTTCCTCCAAAGTTTCTTCACCGTATAAGCATTTGATCACCAATCCACTACATCCCAGAATTTAGATTCCATGATCAACAATGAGAGCTTGCCAGCTGTGTGTATAGTAGATTTATCTTTTCTGATCCAACATAATAATCACTAGGGCCAATTAAGGTTTCTTAAACAAAGTCAAAAGGGCTACATAGGGATTTGACTATGGTACCAACAAAATAAATTTGGAATTATGCTCTTAAAATTTATTATTTTAATTAGTATTTTTATAATTTTTGTGGGTTATTTTATAATCAAAAAATTTATTAATTTTGTGGGTGATTTACCACTATTGTGAGTGTTTTTACACTATTGTGATAAATATTTTTACTATTTTTTTTATACAAAAAAATTACTATTTTGTAGGTATTTTTATTATTATTGTGAATATTTTTATCATTGAATGTTAGATACCGCAATAGTGATAAAAACACTAACAATAATAATAAAAAGATTCATAAATATAATAAATTGGTATGAAAAAACATTTTGTCGGTACCGTAGACAATTATACTGTGGAGTATCATGTGCTAAGCTTAATTTGTATAGGATAAAGGTGAAGATTCCTTAAAAAGTAGAACCACACAACAAAAAAAAGAGTGCAAAGTTCTAACGTAATTTAGAAGGATTAAAGCCATATATTACGGGGAAATGATGTCAATGATAGACCTTTGGTTGGTGGGTTACAGAAAATAGATAGCTGGTATAATATTTAGGAATGGTAACTGAGTCGAACGAATGAGTTTGAGTTGAAGTCTCGCGTGTTTACAAATTATTTTAATTATGACTCTTTTCTTAAGTGTACGAGTTCATGTCAAACTCAAAATGAGTTGAACCCAAATAATCAGACTATTTGAATCGAACATTGACAAATGAGCTCGAATCGAGCTCTGAAAAAATCAAATGCAAGCCAAATTGGAATAACTCGAATTGTTTACCACCCTCGGATTCCCTCGACCCATTTATCGAGTTGGCGCAAAAGGAGTGCATTTTAACATTTAGACGAGGAGACGAGACAGAAGGGGATTTCTCTCTGCTACTGCAAGAAAGAAGGCTGGAATATAATAAGAGAACTAATACCAAAAAATTTCCAAAACGAAACCGAAAAGTGTCTGAGCCCGGGTTCGAACCGGGGACCTCTAGTGTGTGAGACTAGCGTGATAACCGACTACACCACCCAGACGACAGTACGAGTTTGTTGCCTATTTCTCAAAAATATGTGTAATATATAATTATTTAAATGTAAGAAAAAACTTAACTTGGCCTCTAGGAATTGATTATTGGGTTTTTATTTGCGTGGATACAGTTTTTAAAACTTATTTGAGAAAAAGTGTATAGATCAATATTTTACTCTATTAAGTTCAATTTTAATAAAACTTCTTGTGATTAGGTACAAAATTCAAATGTTATTTAAAATTTTTTAATTATTTACTATTCTTTAAATTGTGCATAATTTTTATTCTCTCAATCTTTTTGTCTCTCTCTCTCTCCATTACTCTCATTGTCTCTCCCATATTTTTGCTCCGTTATTTTCCCTATCTCTCTCCTATTTTCTCTCTCTCTCTCTCTCTCTCTCTCTCTCTCTATCTACTATTGATAATTTATTTTCTTTTCAAATACGTAAATATTTGATTTATTTTTTCATCTCTCTCCCCCTATTTTCTCTCACTGTTTCTTTCTCTTCCTATTTTTTTCTCTCTCTTTATATCAACATTACAACAACACAATTACATTAACCAATTACACCAATTAGTTACAATTGTCTTACAACACATCAAATAATTACTCATGTGTTCTAATAAATTAAATAGTTACATCAAACAATTACACAAAATTATGACACCATTTCAAGTTGTCATTTAGTTGTTTACATAAACTAAATAGTTGTATCATTTAGTATTGTGATATCGTTACAACAATTATACATATCAAATTTAGTATAATGATAAAATCTTTTGTGTAATGATAAACCTAATTTAGTATATATAATTGATGTAACTCTTTGATTTATGTAAATAAATGATTGACAAATTTGGTTGATGTTGTAATTTCATGTAATTATTTAGTATAATTGTCTAGTTTATTAGAACGCATAATTAATTATTTGGTGTATTATAGAGTAATTATAATTAATTTGTATAATTAATTAGTGTAATTGTGTTGTTGCAACGTTGACATAAGGAGAGAGAGAGAGAGAGAATAAGGAAATAAGGGAGGGGGAATAAGAGAGAGAGAGAGAGAAATAAGGAAATAGATGAAAAAATTAAATCAAATATTTACATATTTAAAAATAAATAAATTTTTAATGTGAGAGAAAGAGAAAGATAGAGAAAAAAATATAGAAGAGAGAGTGATAGAGTAATTGATAGAGAATGAGAGAGAGAAAGTAACGGAGTAATAAATGGTCTTTTAATCATTTTTTCAAAAAAATATATTTAGGACTAAATAAGTTTCTTTAATGTAATTTTGCTCAAATAAGTTTAAATTTTTGTACCATGACTTTTGGGTCAAGTTGAATTCGAATCTTGGTAACAATTTGGGGTATGATCATAAGGGTTTCTGATCGAATCGAAAAATAGATTAATCAATGTGTACATAAACTGACCTCAACACCTTTGACAACCTTTGACAAAATGGGTGATTTCATTTTCAAGACAAAGTTTACCAATTGTTTTACTATATCATAATCAATGTCATAAACATTCTCACTTGGCAAAAACTAACAAATAACAAGCAAACAAACAGCTGGTTCTCTTATAAAAACGAAAGCCACGACTTTATTTCATGTTTAATCTAATTAGTCATTGTGATATCTCTCTCTCTCTCGTTCATGATTCGCAGAATTGAGCAGCTGCTGCCAGATTATCCCAATAAAGATCACCAATCCATTGCTTTGAAGACTCGTCATAAACTGCATACCTCGCATTCGCTTGTATTCTCCACCGACAATTACTCCCACAATTTTTCTTAGGAAATGGACAGAAATACCCGTCTACTGGCCCGAACCCGTTGTTCCTGTTCCGAGGGTTATCCCATTCCACCATGCACATATAGTCCGTCGCGTCGGAAACTCCGGTGGTGTTGAATGTCCAGTCCAAGGTCTCTGAAGTGTCCACGTATACTTCCATAAGCTGTTCGGACCACAGTTGATTAGGGCCACGTAGTTGCATTCATTGGTCATTTCGATTCGCGGCGGTGTAATATGTTTGTGTGGCGCCGTGGGGGGAGAAGGAGATAGGTTTTTGCGGAGGGTCAGTGGCGCCGCTGCGGGGTTGGTGGTGATGGCTGATGATCAGACCATGCAGAAGAGGAAGATGAGGAGGGGTACAAAAGCAGTCGCCATTGTTATTTATACAAAAACGAGGATTTTTTTTACTTATTTTTATTATTATATTTTATTAAGTTAATTTTTAGTTTATAAAAAAAAAGTACGAGTATGAGTTCGATTTGAAGATAATGTAGTATTACACTTAAATCTTTGTATTAAATTTTTTAATTCACGAGTTATATTAATCAACTCCAACATGACACGATACTGACACAAAAATAAATAGCTTAAGTCGACATGATACAATTAATTAAATGAATTGGGTTCAAATCGAGTAGTGCTCGACGTAAATCTGCACATGACACAATACAAACACAATTGTCACCCCTACAAATCATCGGTAGGTAAACAAACAAAAACTCCATTGTAGAACTAAATAAATATTATTTTAATAACTAATTTCTTTTAAATACTGTGATTTGTAAGCCAATTAATTACCTTTGGCTTCGTAGCACGATAGTGCCACCAGCAGAGTGATTGTTAACAACTTTTACTAAAGATTTTAGGAGTAATTTAAGTATTAATCTTGCAACATGTTCCTTCACGTGTCGTGTTCTGGTACCATGTCATTCATTATCTCATTTAAAAGTTTAAGTTAATAGAGAAGACATTCATAAATATCTACCTAATATTCTCCCTCACATATACGAGAACATATCGGTGATATCACGTGGCAAGATGATGTGATATAACTAACCAATAATACTAAAACAAATAAGTAGATGAACCCCACAAAAATCAATAACTAACATGTCATGTAAACAAATAACTCTCCACCCTTTTACCATATAAACTCAAGTGGGGTTCATCTTTCTTATTTGGGGTTTTATTATTGGTTGGTGATACCATGTCATCAATTGTGACATTGTATCACCGTTACATTTGATCCATCCACTTCATTTTTAATTTTTTGTAGTAAATGAAAGAAGTCTTGCAGGTTTTGAACACAGAATCTCTAAGTTCTAATATCATATTGAATCATCATCTCATCTAAAAATTTAAAATAATAGAGAAAGTATACCATAAACATTTATCTAATAGTCATTAAACAATTGTAAGAAGTTTCGAGTTTAGTTTGAATAAGATACGATTTAGTTCAAGTTGGACTCAAATGTTAACCAAGTTCAAACCGAAAGCTTAAGATCTATCAATCACAATCAAAACCAAATGTGGACATACTTAACACTCAACCGACCATTAACACCCCTGCCAAAGCCTAATCTCGGTTGGCATGCAAAGCTTGCACGTCTGTTCCAAATAAGGGGGTGGCGGGGGGGTTACTGATGCAAGAAGCTTTCTATGTATATCAAAGTTCTTGAGCCACAACGTAGTTGGTGGAAACAAAATTGGACACGGCAAAAACAAAATCAGGACAATCACATTTTAATTGTATCGTATCATGTTCGGATTATATCATTTACAGTGTGTTATTTTAAATCGTGTTATAGTTCCATTAACATGTATAATACGTGACACCAAAAACCCAATGCTAGAACTACTCCTCTTTAAACTAATTCCACTATATATATAGGTTTACCACAAATGACAAGTCTCATTCATCTAAAAAAGGAAAAAAAAGTTCAAATCAAACACTTTTCTTTGTATAATACTATTTAAATAAATTCAATTCATTTTGACTTTAATCTTACTCATTTATTATTCATGTTCAACTAGAACCTTCACTTCTGTATGCTTAATCTTCAGTTGGGCATTTCCTCGAACAAGTTCTCGAGCTTTGCTTAGAGGCTGTTCTTAGTCCCTCATCCCATGTCCAATACAATCAAGTCCCCTAAAGACCTTCCAGCCCCGCCATATGCAATCATCCACAGTGAAAAAGGAGGCCAAAGACCGAAAAATGCAAATGTTGGAGGGTCGAGAGCTATTCAACTGACCTGATATTCACTTTTTACCAAACTTATTATTCTGAGTGTGGTCAGACCTACTTGGCTGCCGTCGCAGGAATGCCACGAAGAGAGGCTTGATAGCCAAGATAATGGGGCACTCCGGTAGGCAATAACCCTTTGGTATTATGTACAACTCCACATACTGTGATCTTCACCCAACTTGACACAACGTGAAAAAGAAACAAGCGCAGGCCATAACCAATTAACTGAGGATTAATTAAACTGAGTCCTGCAGGGAGAGAATTTACTAGTGTTACCATCGATCGCCATGTACACCCTGCCCGTAGTACGGACTGGTATTGGGAAAAGTAGTCGTAAATCTTTGAAAAAACAATCTACAAGTGCACCGCAATTTACAAACCCAAATGTATTTACAGTGTCATCATAAATTGCGTGAGAAAAATTAAATAAGATATAAAAAAAAAATCCGGCAATGTTTGGCCAGTCCAGACAACAATTGCTTCGGAACCAAATAAGTCGTAAAACTACCACCTTAAAACACAATGCTTCAACAAAATGTCTAATACCCTCCAAATGGATAACACAATAATATGCTACATCTCAACTCAAGCTTTGAAGCCACCAACTTCAAGTACTCTTCCCCAAGAAAGGGCATGGCTTCTGCAGGATGGTGTCTAACATCAAGAGCAGAGAAAACATAGAATAATATAGCTTTAGAACTAGACATGAAAAATGACGTACATAAAACACATGATAAAAAAATACAAAAAAATAAATTAAACGATAAGGTAGTGCCCAATGCTTAAACCCCTTCATCACCATTTCAAGGGAGATCAATACTTTGTAGTGCTTTGATGATGTAATCAAACAGCAGTAATGTTTGTCGATGAGATTCTAACATCCAAAGACTTTTCTAGTTTCATCCTTCACAATTCACGGGAAAAGCGCCAGAGGATCTGTGCAAATCAGCTTGTAGGACTTTTCACGCAGCGCTGCTTATATCAATCAGTTTGTAGGAAGTTTTTAAACATTTAACCAGACCATCGCCACACAGATGTCATTTTCTATTTTATACTATATCATCTTTGATGTAGGGAATCGGGTAGAAACACGGGTACAATAAACGAAAAGAGGATAATGAAATTATACCGTTAATTTGCGCACAAATACTGGTTTAGATTCCTACTCTAGGCCTATTGATTCTGTAAAATACCAGTTTTAAAAGTTTCAATTGATCTATTGCTTCTTAAGAATACCAGAATAATTGAAAAAAATAAGAATACACTCTCTTAATATTGTATTCATTCATCAAAAGTTGTTTTGCCCTAAAGCTTACATGAGTTTATATAGTAGGCCAAACACTAAAATCTACTAGAAAAATGGAATCATAATTAAATTAGGAAACTGAATAAGATAAAATCTTAAATGAATCAAAAAATAAAACAAAATAATTTCCTAATTAAAATAAAATCTTCTAAAATTTCCTAATTGAACGGCATTAACCACATTCAAATAAAATACCAAAATTAGCGCCACTCATATTGCATCATCCTCCCCAAGTTAGAAAGAATTTACTCTTGAATTTATTTTGTTATTTGAGTCTTTGTTTGAACTTAGGCTTCCGACCGTTCCATTGAATCTGGGCTTGATACTTGGGTTGTTGTCTAAATTTTGGCCTTCGACCATCCCAAAATTCGTCTATAAGATTCCTGATGATCATGGCCATATTGTTCATCTCAATCTAATTGAATCACAACAAATCGCTAACTTCCTTTTCATAAAAACAGTTGACACTAAAATATCCAAGGAACTTATCGTTTGGAAAGGTACCCATCTTGTGATAACAAATAAAAAGGAAACAATATTTTGGCGAATCTACAAGGACAGCTCTGATGTCTTCCTCTAGACTCTTCAATCCTTCCAAATCTTCAGTAGTGACCAAATAATGAACCCTAAGATATTTCTCATATATCGGGGTAGCACAATCGACTTTTTGAAGAATTAAAGAATCAACATCCAAGTTTTCATCGGGGATAAATTCCAATCAACTTCTGATTGAATAGAAGATGATTCGCTATCAAAAAATAATTTTTCGAACTTCATGTCAAGAATTGAAAATATTAACGAGAACGTAATTGTGCTTTGATACCGACTAATGCTGGGAAGCGGGTAGAAACATAGGTACAATGAACCAAAAGGGAATAATGAAACTATAACGCAGATTTGCATACAAATACCGGTTTAGATTTCTACTCTAGACCTGTTGATTCCACAAAATACCAATTTTAAAAGATTCAATTAATCTATTTATTCTTAAGAATACCAAAATAATTGAAAAAAAGAAGAGCACACTCTCTTAATATTGTATTAATTCATCAAAAGTTGTTTTACCTAAGGCTTACATGAGTTTATATAGTAGGCCAAACACTAAAATCTACTAGAAAAATAGAATCCTAATTAAATTGGGAAACCGAATAAGATAAAATCCTAAATGAATCAAAAAATAAAATAAAATAATTTCCTAATTAAAAAAAAAAAAAAATCTTCTAAAATTCCCTAAATTGAACGGCATTGATGATATTCAAATAAAATACCAAAATTAGCGCGCCATCCATTCTGCATCAATCTTACTTTGTGACAAGATGAATTTGTTGCGTGTCATTCCACTAACAAAATGGCGATCATTTCTTCAAGCATTTCATAAGTGCCCCAAATAGAGCTTTCAAAGAAAAAAATTCAACCACAACAAAGAGCTTATCAAGATAATTGTCGGGTCTAGTAGCCACATACGCATTACCAGCTCATGGAAGTCATATTTGACAACTTTGGCGATTAAACAAATTGTGTTATACTCTAAGAAGAGGATCCCACCAAAATGGAAATTCTAATTCCCTCAATTTTCTTTCTGGCATATTCAACTAATTACTTACTTCCAAGTGAAGTATCATCTAAGTCTCAGTCCATATGAAATGGCACATTTTTCTGAAGGTGGATCTGTCACTTGTCTGAGATTTATGACATTTATGGCTTTAACACATCCTCTTGCTTAAGAAATACGAGCAAACTAGTCCCTTAGATTTTGCGCATAGTTGATTGAGACACAGTCATAGGGCTATGGGGACTGGGGAGACAACTGCATAGGCTGTTTCTGCAAGTCTATATATCCCCCCCCCCCCCTCTCTTTCCCCTAAAAAAGATCAATATCACAACCAAAGAGATCTGCAATTTTCACATCAAATTAATACCCAATTATCAATTTCAAATAATCAAAAATTGCATCTAAGATGGTCAACAGTTGAAAAACTACCATGGTATCACAGCTTAAAGCAGACTATATAAAGGACCAAAGCAGGGGATTACTGAAGTCAGGGGATTACTGAAGTCTTTACTCCATGATTACTTAAGCATAATGTAAACAAAGTGATAATGAAGACGCTTTCACCTGTCTACACATACACAATACCTAAGTATCTAAAAGAGGGAAACCTACCATGAGAGATCACCACAAGAACGACACGACTGATTTTGGAACAAAACCAGAGTCAGGCACTAACCTTAGAAATTCAATGGAGAACAAAGACTGCAGTAATGACATCTAGTTTCATAAGAACCTAGGCCTTCTATCTGCAGGCTTCAAAATCTGGAAGGAGCACATTAAGCTTTCATCAACACTCATCATTGCACCAGCATTATCAAATTCACCACAATAGTTAGGGGCTGAGAATATGGTAACAAGCTGCCTGTCAGCAAAGAATTCATACCCATCCTCCACAACCTGGATGAAAAAGCATTTTGAATAATAGTGGGAGCCACAAACAAAGGACAAAGAACAGATCAGAAGGGGATATTAAAACCTGATGGGCACGACAAACAAGATCCATATCATGCTGCATTAAGAATTCTGCCACCTTATCAGGGCCAAAAGTGAATGAGACTCCCCTATCATTCATTCCCCAACCTTTCATTTCTCTACTAGGATCCGACCAAAGTAAATCACAAAGCAAGCCAGAGTCAGGAACATCAGTTGGACGAGGTAAGTTTCTTATCTGATCTAAGTTTGTTAGATCAGGAGAAAGGCCGCCATGCATGCATAGTATTTTGTCATCTATAAGAGCAGCTACAGGAAGACAATTAAAACAGTCTGTAAAGGTTTTCCAAAGTCTCACGTTGAACCGGCGTTTACATTCATCATAGAATCCATATATACGGTTAATAGAAGCACATTCATGATTTCCTCTTAGAAGGAAGAAGTTCTCAGGGTATTTGATCTTGTAGGCAAGCAAAAGGCATATTGTTTCCAAACTCTGCTTTCCCCGGTCCACGTAGTCTCCAAGAAACAAATAATTGGCCTGAGGAGGAAACCCACCATATTCAAAAAGCCTTAAAAGGTCACAATATTGCCCATGAATGTCACCTGGAATGCAGAAAAAGAAAGCACAAAAGTCAAAAAGAGACACAATGTAAACAAAATAATAATCACAAGCTAACAGCTGAAATCAAAATTTATCTTAAAGCCCTCTCTGGGTACCAAGGGGCAGAAAAACAAATCTGGAGAGAGTTTTCCGTTCGCACTAAGATTTGGTGATTGTCAATCTTACTAGACGCCTAATATGTTGTCACAAAAGGTGAAGCTGAATGGTTTATTGCCAATTTGATATTAGGTAATTATTGCATTCCAGTCTTCCTTGACATTGTCAACTTATTATGTTCAGAAATTTTAAAAGTTGTCTTGCTGTTAGAGAATACAGGGCAGGGCTTGAGTTGATGTTGGGATGCCTCAGATGAATGGGTTTCTTCAAGCCCTAGTCTAAATCTGATTCACCAACCTAAATCAGTTTGTAGGACCATTGCATAAGTAATGGACAAGAAACAATAAGTGCATTTTTCTCTCAATTAAAAGGAAAAAACAAAATCATTCAGTTGTATAAGGTATGCAATAAATAAGAGACAAATAGAAGTTTTATAATGAGGGAGAATTACAGCTAGACTCAATTGTTTGAATAGCGGTGTCTCAACTGCTCTCTTATCACAGAACATACTGAGAGTCCCTACTTCCTAGCTCATCTACTTGTTTCGTTGCTCATATTGACTATGTGTAAATAGAGCAGAACAAAGAAAAGAGAGCAAAAAAGAAACACAAACGAATTGGAATTTTCTAGGATAGGTCTGAGAGTTTCATGGTATTGGAGCACCAACATATAAAAGTGCTTCGGAAAGAAAGTAAGATCTTTAGCTTTTAGCAAGTGAACGAATGTCCAAGAGCTACCGGCAGTATGAGCCCTTCCCAGTAGTCCCCAAAAGCGTAGGGAAAAGGGTCGAAAGATAGCTTGGCAAAGAGAGTAAATGTTCCTTGCTGTTGTCTGGGCCGGTAGCTAAAAGAAAGTCCTCGCTTTCTCTTGAACAAAGGAAGGGCAGCATAGCATTAGCTTCAATTGAAGAAGCTCAACCTCAAAAAAAAAGGGTGGTAGGCCAAAGAACCATTGAAGACTTCAACTTGGCCACTGAAGAAGGCGAAGGCTGGGCGAGAGACTAAGCCAAGTTATTGTCATGCCATGGTTGAAGCTTTAGGCCCCATAGACGAAACTATGTATTAGGTATTAGGGGGGGAAGGACACCACTCAACACATAAGGTGGGATTCAATGCCCAACAAAAATGACCAAAAGATTAAAAAAAGGCAAAAAAGAGATGTATGGCTAGAGTTGCCACAAAAATCAGGGTTAGCACTCTCGCTGATTCACCGGACCTCAAATAAAGGCAAGTAACAGCTCAACAGAGTCGCTGTAGAGTTGCACAATCATCAATTGCATTTTCTTCTTTCTCGATTTCTCTCATTTTCACCTAGTGAGAATAATCTCATCAAATGAAAATATTGCGAGTTTTTAAGGCCCACATGTTTCATCCTTTTATGTCATGACCATATTTCCGTATAAACTTACAAAAAGGATAATGGATGTTATTCGACAATGATCCTAATGTCCATAGTCTATACAATAACAAAAAGAGTTCGTTTTTTTGAAAAATTGACAAAATAACCCGTGTCCAAAATTCATCCACACATTTCTATAACATGCTCATAGGATTTGGAAATAGGGATGTACCCTGTACGAAAATGACGGTGTGGGTACGATAATTAATATTTGAAGGATGCTCAAATGACAGTGTGGGTACGATAATTAATTAATATATATATGATTGAATAGATGATATATTATACAATTGAGATACATATGTCATATATATACATATGATTTTCATAGAAAATTAACGGTGCTAATAGTCTCAACTTCTGACATATATATAGATATGATTTTCAAAGAAAATTAACGGTGCTAATATTCTCGACTTCTTACACCAACAAGGGCTCTCGATTGTTTATCTTCATCTTGCATATTTATTTGATTTATGCTTGCATTTAAGGGTTGCATTTTGGCGTAACTTCTCAAAATAAAAGTCCATTTTGTGGATGGACTTCAGCAAATAGACTTCCCACCAATAGAGTGTTTGGTGAACTTAGGTTTTAGAAGTGCTTTTTACATATTAACTGCATATATACATGAAAGTATGTTTGGTGAAAACATTTTAAAAGTAAAAAATAATTTGTACTTGTAAATATTACCCTTAATCTTAATGTTAAGAATTTTTTATCCAAAAAACATTCCAATTAATCTAAAAGTTGAATAATAAAATTAGTTTACCCACATCTATTAATGTTATGATTGTTATTTTTTCCCAGAAGAAAATATCTACGTCATATTTTTAATACAGAGAGGAAGAAAAACAAAACAAAAAACAAAACTGAAACATGTAACCAGACACATCACAAGTAATTTAGGCTAATAATTGATAGTTTTGAGATTAATGGATAAGCTGGTCCACCTTCGTTAGCATACACAATTCAACCAAAGAATATAACTTAATTTACAAAAAAAAATAATTTAAACCCCAAAAGAATCAGTAGGTTGGGTAATGATGCCTCACTTCAAAAGATAAATCAAGAACCCATGAAATTATTAAGACATGTTAATTGAGTACTCAGTGGACAATCCAACTTCTACCTTGCAAATTATATAACACGAAATTCCAATGGCTATTCCAGCACAGAAAGCACATACAAATATACATAAATAAATACATATATGTGTTGTGAATGTGCATATATAGAAAAGGGAGAGGGGGAGAGTGAGAGAAAGAAGGCTGCTCGTTGAAAGCCATATGGAATCAAATCGGCACAAACAAAATTCCAACTTTATAGAAGTTTCTGCCACCATACATGGTTGCAAAAAAGACATGCTTGCCAAGACCAAGTTAGAAGTTCATTCAAGAACTCCAGCAATGTCAAAAAATCTCATCCATCAACATTTTGTTAAATATCACAAATCCAGAATGGTTCACTTCCTTCAGCGAAAATAGTTCTTTTTCTCAATTATTGCAAAAGAATCGGAAGTGCAGATTATTTGCAGTGGATATCGCAGGCCCGCAATCAACGGAATAATGATCTACCTGTAGAATGATATAAAAGAGGAAGACGAAGAGGGGTAGGACGTGAAAAATAATTCTTTTGAAAGATTAAAGAAGACATTAATCTTGAACCTAAAGGAGCATGAGTCATATATTCTGCAGAACGCCGTATTCCCTGTTCTCACTTAAACCAAGAAATTGGCTTTGCGAGAAGTCCAAAAATCATGATTTCAAGAAGCAAACCAGCAGAGCTTCTCTAAATGCCCATCCATAAGAAGCACTAGCCCATAAGTCAAAAGTGTGCACTCACCAAACAGTGTATACTATTGGAAACGGAGTTTCAGTCCAAACAGTGCTTTTGAGAGCCACGCCAAACACACGGAAGGTAAGAATGCCTCTTTGTTATATGAGTAGTACCAAGGAAGATTGGCTGTAGTGCACAAACTAGGACATTAGCAATGAGTCAATGACCTCACAAAGAGACTGCTACGATCTTATCTGTACAAGAAAAATGATGCTCATAATCTTCATTCCTTGGTTACTAGTAAAATGGAGGTGGTAAAACTGTGGTAACACCATGTAATGTTATTCCTTCTCCAACAAAACACATCAGTCAATACCATGAGATCCATTAGATGGGGTCTCACCCTATGTTATAAATTGCTAAAGTGAAGCCATCAAGGCCTGGTTCCAAAAAAAAAAACAAATTGTATGTAAAAACCTAATATAGTCTATATAGATGATGAAACGCCATCCATACATACATTCCGAAAGAAAACACCACCAATACAACCCTATACCAAAATATATTTACCCTTCAAAATCTTCAGTTGAGGCTCCAACCTAACTACGCCAATGTATAGATGTGGTAGACTTTATTGTGTTGTTTGATCAATCTATAGCAGATTAATCTAATTAAGCCATAGGTTAAAGAACTAACTACCGAAACATAGACCCTCAATAATTATTTGATACATTGACTGACTTTTTGTTCACTTGCTGGCATATCTTCACCGAAATGGCTTTGGAATAACGTATGAAACAATAAGAAATGACTTAATGTCATAGTCCATGATCCATATTAAATCATAACCACAGGCCATGGTTTAACATTACTCTAAAGTGATGGCCAACATAAGCTGAGCCCACCAAGAGTTGGTGGTCTACAAGAAATATGTTTTGACAATGGACATAGTGCCAGAAACAACTTATACTAAAGACCAAATAATGTGCATAAATAATTTCAAAATTAAGTCAATCAAAAACTTTAAAGAACCAAAAGTGCACAAGCAATAAAATACATAAATAAGTATTTCTACAAGATTACCACAACGTACCGCGTTAAGCAAAAATTAAGAACTGATTCATCTATACACTACATAAAATGCTCTAAAATGAGATGGTAAGAGATACTCATAATTGAAAAGATATAAAGTATGTCCTATATATAAATTTACATTTAAAAAGAAACAAAGAAGAATTGACAGAGGATGGAAAGGAACAAAAACGAAAAATTCGCATGAAAAATTCACATCATTACCAAAAATGGGCCCAAAATTTCTTGCTTACAAACATATGATGGACATAACACCATCACTTTGAAATCCATGCTGCTGAGTCATCTAAAACTAGTATGAGGCATCATCTTAAAAAGAAGATCCTAATATCATCTCTTTTCTTCAAAACGTCATGGTTGCAAAGGATCTATACGCCAACTACCATCTAAATCAAAAGTAAAATTCTAGCGGGACTTGGGTTTCAACCTCAGGCCATTAATGTCTTTCTCCTACTCTGGCAATGGCAAATGTGTCCATTCATATTTCAAAATAAAATCAGTAGATTGACATAGAATTTCATATAGCAGTCCTCAAATGCCACATATAATCATGTTCCTGTATTTACTGAGAACATAACAGCATGTTTTTTGGACAAATTTCATTTTACTTCACCATGTTTCATCCGTAGCTATTCTCCACACCCTCTATTGTACAAATAACTTTTTGATGAACTCCATGGTATAAATACAAACACATACTATTCATAACATTTCAGACAAATATGCTACAGTGCAATAATCTGACGAAATTGATGGTAAATGTGACATATGTGCCTGTTTGGTGATTTGACCTTAAAAAAAAAAAATCAGCCAAAATTGATGGCCAAAGTACAACAATGCCCGCGTAGTCACTTAAAATGATAAATACCCCCTCTTTTTCTACACTAGTTTGTTCTTCACTCTCCACAACAATCTATTGTTATCACCGATGCCCATCACTCACTAATACCTACAAAGCTTAAAAAAAACTCTTCCTTTCTCTCTCTATCAATATTTTCTCCCTCTTGGAAAATCCCTCTCTATGGCATCACAAATCACACTCTTCTCTCCCCATATTTGAATCCCTAGGGTTTTAAGTTCTCACAATCTCCACAATGGATTGGTATCACATATACATATTGGGTAAAGCTAAGGTTTCTAGATTTGTATAAGGGTGTGGATATAAACACTGTGGAAAGCCACATCATTGAACACAATGACAGTTGAGAATAGAGATGCATTATTGGAGAACATGGCACAGGGTGGAGAAGAGGGCTTAGGGGGTTGCATTGATTTTGTTTGAATTTTTGTTTATCTTGGTTAAATCTTTATGCTGAATTATTGTGGAATTTGGTTAAGTTTATATTTTGTTGTGGCCGTGAGGTTTGGGTTTTTGTCATGGAGGTTTTGGAAATTGTAGTTGGAAGTGGGGGAGGGGGAGGAGGATCCTAGGGATTACAAGGGTAGGGTTATAGCAATTATAGGAGGTGGGAGGTAGTGAGGGTTGTGGTCATTTTTTTAACAAGACTGGTAGCATTCATGGTGTTGATTGGACAGTGTACGCCTGTACGATGGAAGAATACTAAGGAAGGGAAAGAGGAAACAAAACCAACAAGAGATAGACTGTAAAGGCAGTAAATTCATTTTCACAAAGTTGTTAATGGTGTTAATTGTTCATATAGGTCCAAAACCACAAGAAAGTTATACAGTTTTATTTGAACCATATTATGTGAAGTAAAACAAGATTAAACATAGGAGAGTAATGAAATTTTCCCTTTTTGATGAAGAATGCTGAGAAAAGAGCTTTTGTCATCTTTTCCAAACTGATCAAAGATGCCCCTCACAAGTTCACTTAATATGTAATCCTTCAAATTTCAAATAACCACATCCTAAATCTACTCCATCCCAATATAGCCCATCCCCAAGTGGATCCCTGCTAAAAGCACATTATTCTTTTAGAACAGTAACTTCGTCCATCAATAGCCTTGAGTCCTTGACTAAGTCTCGAGTATTCTACCACTATTACCAGCTGCATTTTCTAGAGCACAAATAAAATATCCCCAAAAAATTAGAATAGGATCCATCCTATTAAGAAATGTAAAATTACTTGCATGCATCCGCTGACATTGAAGGTGATGAGTACTCAAACTTTTCATTTACTCCACTCATCAAATAATCTTATGGGAAATCCTGTATCAAGTCATAATCGACTCTACCCTCGATTCTTTACCCAATAATACAGAGACATATTCAAATAACAAAACAAAGTAAAAAAAGGCAACCCAAACAATATTTATTCCATAAATTTGCTTTATATGCCTGATAAGAGCTTACGGGGAAATTTTAGAACCAGCTTTGGCATTCAGGAAACCCTATTTTCTTTAAAGAATTCATCGACTATTCCTATCAACCCTATTCTTGCACAGCTACACAAATTAGCACCCATATAGGCGCACAAGGACGCACACAGTCATGCACCCCTCTATATATAAAATATATACCAAAGCTAGAGTATGACAATGGCAAGATCATAACACAAACATTTACACATTCTCAATCACAACCCAATAACACAGATCAATAAATACATGCGCAAAGCTATACATACCCAAATATGTAACAGAGGAGAGAGAGAGAGAGAGAGAGAGAGAGAGAGAGAGTACCGCAGATCTTGATGGGGGCTTCGAGCTCCAAAAGATTAGGCTGTTGAAGGAAAATTTCCCTAGAGGCAACACAGAGTGAACGGATCTCAGCCTCGGAGAGCTGAACCTGTCGCACAGTCCTGGCTTGTCGAAATTCCAAAAGCCGAATGATAATGTCATCCAGAACGGCAGGTTCTATCCCCTGCTCAGTTTGCGCCATTGATCTCTCTCTCTCACTATCTCTCCCGATCGCTTTTTCGTCCCCGAATACCTTGCCTTTCAAAATACCCACAAACCCTAGATTTCAACAGAATCCAGCAAAATAAAGAATCTTTAGCTAGCCTTTTGTTTTTGAGTCTCGGTGATTGGAAGAGGTCTTTGTTTGGATATTCTGGTTGGGAGCAAAAGAGAATAGACAGATATCGTGGATTTATGTGTATACAAGGTAGTGGATGATCTAAAATAAGTAATATATATTTATGTGTGTGTGTGTGTGTGTGTGTTGGGGGGGGGGGGGGGGGGAGGAGAGAGAAAATGAATGATGGTGAAGGGGTGGAAGAAGGAAGGGGATGAATGACTGCAACTCCGATGTGGCGGAGGTTCCTATCTCTCTCTATAAACAAGGAATCGAATTCGTCGGAGTCGATAAATCCGCTGTCCTTGTGGCGGAGGTCAATTTTCTGTGAAGCCCTTCCCCTCCTCCTCCTAAAAGAGGATCAATCCACATCGCTTTCAAGAGGCTTTTAGGGTTCGAGTATTTCAAACAATGCTTGGTTCCAAAATAAGTAAACGGTAAAAATTTAAAATAATAATAATAGAACTTTTTTTTATCAAATCATATCAGTGAGTCACACTTAAATTTTATACAATTTTTGTTTTTTACAATATTACTCTAATTCTTTTTCGAGTAAAATACTCTGTTGATTAGGCATCTCAATTGTGTTTGGTGATGCCACTTGTGTCGGGTCTTAAAATATTTGTGTTATAAAAAATAGAAAATAAAAAACATTCCGTCTATAGTCTTATAATTAAGTTTAAATTCAATAACACTTTTTTGTAATTCTGAAATTTCACTGTCACCCCTTGTGGGTTACACTGTTAATTGCAATTAATAATTTACAGAAATATATCAAAATATTTTATAGAATAAATTTTATTCACACCCCTTATAAATAGACATAATTTTAACGACTCCCCTATAAATAGACCTATTTTTAATAATACTCCCTCTTGATTTTTTAATTTCAATGCACTCTCTTTTAATTTTATTATATTAATCTTTATATTCATCAATTTAATATTTAATTTTATTAAATTAATATCATTAATTTAATATTTAAATTTATTAAATTAATGTCATCAATTTAAATTTCAATGCACTCCCTTATGTCTCTGCCTCCGCCAATAATTGAAAAAGACATCAATCCTACAACAATACATCACAACATATTGACATAACATAATGGAATTAAAAAAAAAAAAAATGTGCATGAACAAATTTTTAAAAAAAAAATTGCATGAAAAAATTTTAAAAATCTGCATAAAACAAATTAAAAATATCTGCATTAAAAAAAACTATATGAAAAAATTTTAAAAAAATTTGCAAGAAAAAAAATTTAAAAAACTACATGAAAATGTTTTTAAAAAATTACATGAAAAAATTTAAAATATCTACATGAAAAAAAAATTGCATAAAAAAATTTAAAAAAATATGCATGAAAAACATTTATAAATCTATAAGAAAAAAAATAAAAAAATATTTTTTTTATGAACTTAGGTAGTGAGCGATCACTGTAGATAACGAGTTGAAGAAGATTGACTGGCTTCATTTCCTGTGTCTTCTAGCAACACTGGATCGTTTTTAACCTTCAGCAACAACAAAGGATATGGTGTATATAGTGAGAAAAGGGTTGAGAGCATTGTAGTATATTTATATAAGGACTGGTAGTTTTGACATTTTTAAAAATTTATAGACAAACAGTTACTTTTTGTATTGGCAGCATTAAAAATTACCGTTAATGGGGTGTCTTTGATTTGAAAGTATAAACAATAAGGGGTGCAGTGAATTTTCAGAATGTGAAGGGAGTGTCATTGAATTTAGACCTAACTAGAGGAGGTGCAGATGAAATTTTTCTTAAAAAATACTATACTTATATCTGATTTATTTATTAATTCATATTTGATGAATCGTATCATATTGTGGTGTATGAATCGTGTATATATATATATATATATACGAGTCATATTTTATATTTCTTTTGATTGGTTTCACACATATTCGATTTGTTTATTAATCGTGTTGTGTCGAGTCCACTTGTTTATGAAATGAGTGGCTTAAGATAGACCCCAACTCTATAATTTTGTATTGTGTCATATTTTGACACCCCTACTCTTGATTTTTCCGGACTCAATTTTTTTTTATTGTCTACAACTTTTACTCAAGTGGTTTGTCATTGATTGTCAAGTTTTCATAAATAAATTACAAATTTTAAGGCCCAAAATATTAGCAATTGAATTATTTTAATATCATTCTAATTTTTAAGGCTCTAAATAATGCAATTAAAAAATATAAACTTTCAATAACAAAAGTCAGACTGGGTGCATTGATGATGTTTGAAAATAATAGCTCAAGCCCAATAAATAATATTACGAGGATGTTAGTGGATTGGTTGAATAAGTGGAAAGTTTATAACACGAAGTGTAAGTGATTTATCTTAGTCGAATGAGTAAAGCTACGTCTACTGTAAGGGAATTTCTTACTTCTTAAGATTGTATATTACTCAATTTTTAGTGTATACAATAGGTTACAAACGCTGGGTTCTTTACGGGGGATATGTGTTCTGTTCTCCCTGCTGAGTTATTGACTTGAAAGAGTAAAAATGGAGATGAAGATCCTTTTCGTCCCTAAGTAACAATTCTTTATTTACACCGTCATTCTTCTAGGATTTCTTGTTGCTCCTCCTTCTTTTGTGCTGAGGTCGTGGGTTCTTCTGTCATTATCCTACAACAACCTCCATCATTTGGCGTCATTATGCCCACGATCTCTGGATTGTTATGCACACCAATAGTCTCTAAATTCGGGAGTATGTCACTACCAGGGGGTGTCAGTAATGGTCCCCTTGTCCTTAGATCACGTGGCACAACGGGGGACTCCGGAGCTTGTGTTAGACTGGGCCTCCCTAACTTGGGTCCTTCATTGGTTGGACTGGATAGGGGGTTAGGTTGGATTGTAAGCCCTCTGATGACGTTGGGCTTTCCACCTTGGGTTCGGCCTTTTAGACTTCCAATGTAGGCAAACTATGGGCGCCCCACTTGGATCATTGTGCAATCGAAGGGTTCTTGGACTCATTGAGTTCTTGGATTATGAAGGTCCATGCCTTGAATTTCTTCCTTATCAATTACCCCCCAACCACCAGGTCATGAGGATGACGTCACCTCTGACCACCTGGGGTTAGAAATGTCTTTTTTAAATTCGACATTGCTTCCTTAAAATGGGTATAACGACTAATAGACTCTTTTAGCACAAGACCTGATCTACAAAATAAATACAATTCTTCCTATCTTAATTTTTTTTTATAAACACCTAGAGGGTGAAATATGTATATTTTGAAGGCTTTTTTGCACTTTACATCTTGAAAGATGTTTCGGTTCTCACTTTGTACCCTAAAAAATTATTTTTTCTACATTGCACTTTGCATGTCATAAATTGTTCCAATGTGACCCTCGGACTAACATCTATTTTAGATTCTGTTAAAAATTAATGTGCATGCCACCCAAGAATATGAATTGTGAGTTTATATTTTTGCTCAAGAGCAACATATGTGGGTGATATGTGCATCAATTTTTAACGAAATTTGAAATGAATGTTAGTCTGAGAGTCACATTAGAACTAATTTATGACATTTAGGATATAATGTGAAAAAAATAATCCTTTAGGATGCAAAATGAGAATGAAGGCATATTTCGAGGTGCAAAATGTATAAAATTCTATTTTGAATATATTTTACCTAACATTATATTGTAGTTGTAAGAGCCTAAGATTACAAACAAGACCAAATCTAAAAACCACCTCTAAGAGGGTCTAAGTTTTAAATGAGTGAATGGAAGTGTTTATGAAACTCTCATCGCAATCTATGTGAAATTTAAGTTCTTTTTTTTTTTTTATGACCGCATACAAAAAAAATGTATGTATATTTTAAATATACTTTACATCCATCATTGGAAATCAAAAATAAATAAAATGGCCTAATCATTATGCTAATTAATTGATCTAAAATTTTTTGTCTATGATATGTTATGAAGGAGTGTAGATTACACATGTGTTACAAGAAGCATGCTTATATTTACAAAATAAGAAGGTTAAAAAGCAATAATGAAGTATTAGAATATTCACCAATCCATGATAGTTTTGGTGTTTTTACACAACCTATTGCCATAATATTTAATTAAACCTTGGAACAAGAAAACACAATTTAATTATTTTTGTAGTTATTACAAATTTATACTCTTTTCACTACCAAGTCAGAAGCCTTGTCCAAGGTAGTGTTAAATGACATACATCACTCATAAAATATTATGCATTTTTAATTAAAAAAACTGTAATCTATCAATTTATCATTTAAAAAAAAACTTATATGTTCCATAAATTAGTATTGTGTCAACATCTCATGAGGCATGCACACCATGACTTATCAAATATTAATAATTCAGGGGCAGAGCTAGTGTTCTATGATTTTTTTTATGTTTTTTGTTCAACATCAGGGGTGTTCATACTAATTTACGCACACTTGAACTACTTTTATTTTTTATTCAATCAAAAGCAGGTCATGTATGCCGAAATTAAAATATATAAAAGAGATAAATTCATCATGACCTGAGTCAAATGAATTGTCTAAATTTATGTTGATAATAGAGATACTTTTGGTTAATAGTGTTGTATGGTTGACTCCCCAAACAAACCACAACAGTTGTATGATCTATCAACTTCTTAAAGGCATTGGATGGTTGGGCCTTTGCTTATTTAAGGCCCCAATTACCCTAATGCCTATCTTAATCATAGTTTGCCTTGAATTGTGAATTGGCTTATTGATGAGACTAGTGAGTCTAATAAGACTCTGTCCTGGTACCCAACTGCCAATCAGTTTTTTTAATTAAAATTCTCAACTAGTTGGCTGGATATATGTGAATCATTCAAACAACATTTTCCAATTTATTCCCACTTTTCAGCCATATTATTTGAAATTATTAATCTCAAAAACTGTAATCGTCTCAATTATGCATTTTTGGGTGCAAGGAGTTACAATACACTTTGAATACGTACATCATTCATTATATATGAGTTGCGTGCGACTAATGAATTTGAATTCGGGCTGTGTAATTTTACTTTTATCTATTTTCGATAAACAAACTCTTCTCGAATTTAAATTTTTACTACATAGGCAGGCCATGAACAATTTAATTTGGGTGAACCGGTTTTTAATTAATTTTTTATAGTATATTATATACTTCATTAGGTGGGGAGGGTCAAGTATAAACAATGAATGAGTTTTAATTAAATTCATCTATAATTGTTGTTTGATTGTCGAAATTACGATTTATTTTTTTTTTCTTTTTTTATAATTATGTTCTAATTAAAATTAAAAAAATATACATCAAAAGACACCTCACTTGAGTTGATAGTTGAATCGAACTATTAGTGCTTTAATTGGGCTCAGTTCAGATAGAACTCAACTCAATTTTGGATCGTTCTCTAAACGAGTCGAGTTTGAATAATTTTTTAAATTTATTTAAAAAACTAATCTAAAATACTGGACTCGAGCTCACAAAACTTGATTTATTTATTAGTAAAATAGTTGAATTATTTTGAATTGAACAATTTTTTTAGGCCGGGTTATGTTTTTCGGAAAGGAAAAATAAAAAAAGGAAAGGAAAACCAAGTCAAAGGTGACTTTTTTCAACCTTAAATACAGTTGCCATTTTCAGTTAACATTAACGGCTCTGTAACTCCGTTCCAGGAGCATGAGGCTGAAACGCAATTGGGAAGAACCGTGGGGCTCGCTCGTAGCTTCTCTGTTCCATCTGAATCTCAGTTAGACCTGAAAAAGTAACACCTCCATTGTCATTTACAAGAAATTAGGTAATCTGTAATCGCTTTGATCTCTCTATTTTTCGTTAATCTAATATATTTGTTTTTGGAAGATCATTTAGTTTTGATATGTGAGAGAGTAGCTTGGTGGTATATTCCAAAAAGGGTTTGCTTGATGCGTAGATAAAAGGGGAAAATTCTTGTTTTTGATTGATAAATTATGCCTGCTCATCATGAAATGCTCCGCTGTTTGCTTCAATCGTTCATTGGTTTTTTGCACGCGTACGCATGATTTTTTGCAATGCTCCTAAATAGAAAATGTTGCAATTATTGATGTCCATCACGATGATTGTCGAAAATCAAAACGCTGAGATTATGTGCAGCAATAGAACAATGATTTTATGTATTTACTTCTACTAAATTTTTCAAGGGCAAAGAGAAGAATGAGAGGGAATTTTTTTGTGAGAATAATTTCTTCACTAAATTTTTTGTGAGAATAAATTCTTCACTAAATTTTTTTGTGGGAATTTTTCAAGGGCAAAGAGAAGAATGAGAGGGAAATTTTTTAATGCAGGATGAGGAAGGGAAAACTAACCAAATTGAACTGGCAGAATAATTGAGTGTACAACAATTTGTATTGTGATTCTCCTTTGACCACAGCCTGCAGAAATTGTTTATCTAGTCTGATATAAAAGCTATAGCATTTGTAGGGAAAAGATTGGGCTTCCTGGTCTGATACACTCAATTTTCACCTGCGTCTTCATCATCATTGATGTGCTTCATTGTTCAAAAATCTTAGCTGCAATCCTGTGTCTGACCACTAATTTAATGAACCACTTATTTCGAATTGCTTCATAAAAACAGTCATCACTATCATACTGCCACCTACTGCTTGTTGCACCATTTTCTTCTAGCTGTTGACATTGTAAAAAGTTGCTGATGGCTCCCATTAGTCTCCTATGTGGAAGTTGTGTTACACCTGGATGTCCTGATCCTGAATTATGCTCATGCATGACACTTATTTTTCTTTCGTTATACCACACAATGTACAGCCTCAAATTGATTGTTTCATTTTGACAAACATGGATCCTGGCATTGACATGAGACTGGTTCTTTTGTTTATTGCACAATCATGTGCTTGAATCTCCTCATTTACTTGTGCTTGATTTTTCTGCTAGACATCGACTTCCAACCATGAATTAATCCAAACAGATGGAACATCAGGAAGTTACCATTTCAAGAGCTGAGCATCAGCTGGAACTTGAGATGCCAGAAGCCTCTAAAGAACTTAATGTTCCTCCTAAGCTGTTGCAATTTTCTTGCAATCATATTTGTTCATTCTCCAAACAAGAGTTTACTAGTACAGATTTGCAGCAAAGATCAAAGTTGACAGTGATGCTTTGTAGGCTGATAATTTTCTATATAATGGTCATGACAGCTGAGATTGTAGGAGGTGTTATAGCAAACAGCCTTGCAATCTTTACTGATGCAGCCCACTTGCTCATTGATGTCGCTGGATTCTTGATTTCTCTTTTCGCAGTATCGGCATCGGGTTGGGAGGCAACATCACAACAGTCTTTTGGATTTAATCGTCTTGAAGTTTTGGGGGCTCTTTTATCTGTACAGTTAATATGGCTCGTCTCTGGGATTTTACTTTATGCAGCAGTTGACAGAATTCTTCATGATGAAGCGAAGGTGAAAGGAAAACTCATGTTTGCAACTGCCGCATTTGGGTTCATAATAAACTTAATTATGGTTGTGTGGCTTGGTCATGGCCATTCTCATCACATATGCACTGACAAAGATCATGATCATGATGTGAACGACCATCATCAAGCATGCAACGAAAAAGATCATGATCATGAAAAGAAGGAGTTATCTGCCAGGAATGAAGAAGAGAGTGCATCTCTGGTGTCAAGTTTCTCTGAGGAGTCCCAAACTTTAAACATTAATCTCCAAGGAGCTTACTTGCATGTCATTGTTGATCTGATTCAATCTGTTGGCGTCATGATTGCTGGAGCCATCATATGGGTAAAACCAGAATGGTTGGTGGTTGATCTGGTCTGCACTATCATCTTTTCCCTGTTTGCTTTAAGTGCTACTATACCCATGCTTATAACCATATTTAGCATATTGATGGAGAGGACACCAAATGAGATTGATGTTGCTCATCTTGAACATGGTTTGAATGGTATCAAAGGGCTTCATGATGTTCATGACTTGCATGTTTGGGCGATCACTGCAGCAAAAATTGTATTGGCTTGCCATGTAGTAATTGAGCCCGAAGTCAACTCAAATGAGATTCTTCATAAGGTTAAGGATTATTGTGAAAAAATATATGGAATTCATCATGTAACTATACAAGTTGAACAGCAGTTACAATAGTAGTCCTTCTTTCTTATTTCTTTTTTCTCTTCGTTTTTGGTTATAAACTTTTGGTATGAAGAGAGTGAATTCAGCAGAAGAAGATAAATGGGAACGCAGAGATTCTCATGTCCTCCTGACAAAAAGTCTCATAAAAAGTGTCAAGCTATCAACGAGAAACCTCGTACCTAATTGATGACTACTTGAGATTCTATCGCCTATAAAAATTTTAGCAACTTACTGTAATGGCGAAGTCCTTGAAGAGTTCAACGATGTTAGTCATGCCCATAATGGTGTCTCTAGCCTTTGTGGAGAACCTGGCTTTTGCTCCCCTATAGTTGGCTTGCTTCCTCCTCTGATTTCATGTTTATAGGAAAGCTACCAGCAGACTTCATCTGAAATTGGTGGCACATTCTCTTCCCTCTTGTTGAGGAAAGGTTCCCCAGAGGCGGCATATGCTAAGATCCTATCAACCCGAAGATTCATGTGGAGGCTTATATGGTAATTTTTCTCATCGATATATTTAGAATCCAACTCATTTTGGTTCCATGCATAGTTATATTTAAACCAAGATATTATCGCCAGCTGGGTTCAACTGTTCGAGTGACTTGCAAGCCAGTAACGCAGAAACTTTTCCGCTCCATGGTATGAGCCACCTCATTAAAAAAAAGTATAGAAAATGACATCATAGGGACCTTCACTTAGGTTTTTATTGTTTAATTATTAAACGTCTTTGTATAATACAACTTTGATCATATTGGACGATACCATTAAATTAGTGCCTAGCCATGGCCCTTAATTAGGGGCCACAGATCACTTTGAGATGCTACCTTTTGACTAAGACGTCCAACAGAAACACCCACTGGTGCTGTGGATTTCATGTACTCCCACTTCCAATGGTAAAGGGGGAGCTTGTTCTGTTCACAGTCAGTAAAGCTTACAGGAAGGGAAGGATACTTTCATTGGTGTATTCCTACTTCCAATGGAAAAGGTGTACTCTGTTTTTATTGCAAGTCAGAGGCCAGAAGAGGGAGGGATACTACCAGCCAAATCTTATGCATCCAGTTTAAATGTCGTACCCAATGTACAAGACTCTTATCTGTAATGGTGTAGAACGTTGGTAGATAACCTTTACCCATATTTTGAAGAGGTTGATTTCCGAGCTTGGTAGATAACCGCGACCTGTCATTTGGGCAGATGAGGATTCAGCATCACTTAAGGTCCAACCTCCATCTTTTTTGTACAGCTTCGACATTCAAATAAAGATTGATATACCAGCTATAACATATTGTGTATGATTAGTAAACTGTTTGAGATAGGATCAAAACAATTGGAAAAATGCTCAAAAGTAGGCTGTGTGGCTGTGCAGTAGTACCTAAACAGTGATCATGAGGTTATATCAGCTTATTCTGGTCAACCAACTGATGGGGTCAGAATAATGTGTTAACAGCAACCCTTGGCCTCAAGAATCCTCAGGATGTAGCTTTGAAGTAAAACTTCGTTATACAATGAAAAGTGATAACTCAAAGATCGCAATGTGAAGAGAACGTCCGTCAGAAGCTAGATGAATTGAAGATTGAAATGCCAAGATGATGACACATTTTTTTTTTTTCATTACAACTTAAAACATACAACAACATCCCTAAGCCAAAACGAAACGCCACCATCCAGCATATCAGTATCAATCATTTTTATTCTAAAGCAACAGTTAAAAATGTATCATGAAAAAGCAGATCTTTCTACACCATGTTTTACTTTTCAAAAGCTATCTTTCTAGTCACAACTCCATGTAGTAAGAAACTATGCTACAAGTCTATCCCTTGCCGAGGAAAGGGTAAGAGAAAGGGGCAACAAAAAGGGGAAAATTAGAGTTTATGCTTGCCATCAAATCTCTCGCTTCCTAAAAATCCATATCAACTAGAACAGCAACCTTTCTTCACATTCCCGGATGCATCGCCAAGATTGATGGTGGTCCCCTGACCTGGAAGCGCAGTGGAAGCTGCTGCTTCCTGGGCTGCCAGTGCTTTCTTGCTTATGATATGGTATATCTCTGTCAAAATAGTTTGGAATGCCTTCTCAACATTATATGCTTCCAATGCTGATGTCTCAAGAAATGAGAGTCCTTCCTTCTCGGCCAAAGCTTGACCATCATCCTCTTGGACAGCTCTGAGATGCTTTAGGTCTGACTTGTTTCCAGCCATCATGATGACAATGTTGGAATCTGCATGGTCTCGCAACTCGCGGAGCCACCTCTGGACATTGTCAAAGGTTTGCCTCTTTGTTATGTCATAGACAAGGAGTGCACCAACAGCTCCTCTGTAGTAGGCACTGGTAATAGCTCGATACCTTTCTTGGCCTGCAGTGTCCCAAATCTGGGCCTTTACTGTCTTCCCATCAACCTGTATCAGAAAATTTGGTAATTATTGCATTCGCGGTTAGCATGGACATGGGTAGGAACCGATATATTATGAAATTTTCTATTGGACCGCAACAGTTGAAACTACAAGGGAAAAATAATCATAAACCATTACAGCTATCAAACATCCTAGCCAGAACGCATGAATGGCACTGAGGTAATAAATTCAATACATTATGATTAGAAGAAGAACACTGGGAATCTAAAGCTATTATCATATAGTTTGCAGGTACATGATTAATTCAACTTTGCTTTAATGCCCAAAACTACTAGGGATGGGCTACAAAAGCCTTTGTCCCCACATTCAACTTCTAGCATGCAGAAAATATCATTATCAAATTATACGGAATCATAAAGCAAAGCTAGAATACCACATAACTATCAATAAAGACAGTACCCTAAAAAGAATTAATTAGAAACAGGCATAAGAGGTCATGAATTCCACTAAACTGCAAAGTTTGAAGTATGATTCAATCAACAGTGAACACTTCTGTTCAAGATTAAATTAATGACTTAAATTTCATCAGTTATTTCTTTTTGAATTTTAAATCTGAGGAAATATACACAAGAGAACTGGGTTAAAACAGATATGGCACACAACATATGGATCGAATTCTTCAATATACAAGGAAGAATGACAGATCAACAATAGAATCACAGACAAGGAGAATATAGTGACAAAAAATTAGAGAAAATAGCAATCAAAACAAGCACAGAAGATCAATTAGAAAAGTAAGAGAAACCTGCTTTTCATACCTGAAGCGTTCTGGTGGCAAACTCAACTCCGATGGTGGATTTGGATTCCAAACAAAACTCATCTCGGGTAAACCTGGAAAGAATGTTGGATTTTCCGACACCAGAGTCTCCGATCAACACGATCTTAAATAGATAGTCGTACTCGTGATCGACCCTATTCGCCATCCTTCACTCTCACACCTATCATCCACAAAAAATCAGATCCAAACCATTCAGATCTAATTTGACCCTAAACACACCACACGATTAACACACACACTCACAGAGACCCATAAATACTGACAGGAACTTAATCTATAGCTTACCGCAAACGAGAGATTGAAACGGAAGTGGGTTTGTCTGCAAATTGTTCGATGAATCACAGTGAACGAGAATGGATGGGTCTCCAGTCTTCACAAGAGGAAATGAGAGGACAAACGGAACAACCAATGGAAAGGGAAAATATTTTTGAAACGGCAGAGAAAGAGAGAGTATTTTCAAAAGAGAAATACGGCAAATACATTATTCTTATAGATATAGTGAGAGTATACCCAGAAAATTAATATAAAGTATCTCAGCCTATTAAATTCAAAAAACACCCACAAATATATATAAAAATGACGTCGTTTTAGAAAATTGACAGACTTGAATGTCTAGGCCTCTAAAAGATGGGTTGGCACAGAGTCACAGACTAACAGGGATGCCAGGGTGGGAATTGGAAAGTGGGGTCCAATAAAAATTGGAAATATATATTATTTTGTTATTTTAACAATTATTTTTAATATTTAATTACTCGTATTAATAATTTATGCTATTTTTAAATTCATATCAATGAATAATTCATCGTAACTTACTAATTTTATATTGTATCAATGAGCTATACTCCAAAAAGAGGATACCATTCTTGCCAACCAACACATTAGCACCACACATATTGGGCTCTGTCATGAAATGGCATGAAACCTTTGATAACCAATTGACCTAATATAGAAGATTTGTGGGTCACGTTTAAAGAAAGATTCTTCGTGCAATGATTCCAAAGGCACTAGACACAAAATGGCCAACTAAAGTGTTTTTTTTTTTTTTTTATAATGGTTAGAGTATTCACGACGGATAAATTTTTCATGGCATGACGTTAAAAAGTTGTCAAAATTTAAACTTATAACATTTAAGTTTAAAACACGTCCTTATTACCATTTTTACTATCCCTTAAGTTTCAACTTAGTACTTTACCCACAAATAACATTGCACCGGGACATACCAAAGTGCGAAAAACCTATATAATAATGTACTTTATTTTTTCAATGTCAACAATACTTGAGTAACATTTGTATGCAAAATTTGATTAAATGTTTGTATGTTGGGGATCCTGTTCTCATGAACACTATATAATCATTCAATTTTGTTTATTATTGGGTCTTTGTAAAGACCCATGAGTTTCGTAAACTAAACAAAAATATACCTCTAGACAACTTATATAAAAACACTAGACATTGTAACAATCACATTAAACCCTAATGATTTTTATTTATATTATTAGTTTTGTAGTAATATTTTTGCAATTTAATGCGTGTGCAACATGTGTTAATATTTTTAGTGCGGTGTTGGTCATGGGTACGTGAGAGAGAGAGAAAGAGGAAAACAAAAAATCTTGGAAGACTGTATAATTTTATTTAGGAAGTTTACTATAAATTAATTATCAATAAAGGGATCATAGACAGCAAACCCTATACTTTTATTAATAGTATGAATACTAATACTATCTTTACTCAACTCAATTCAACGAAATGAATGTTGTTTCCATAAATAAGACCTTGTCATGAATTGTTTTGGTCACAAAAAATAAAAAAAAATATTTTGAAAATAGAATGAAAATTTTAAAATATTGATCAAAACCTATTTAAATATCTTGAAACATGTTAAAATATATCAAAAACAATGATAAAAATATGTTAAACCATTTCGAAATACTTCAAAATATTAAATTTTAATTCAACAAATGATTTATTTTAATGTTTTAAAAACAAAAATATTTTAATTTTTGATCATTTTAAAATAAAATTTTAATGCTTGATTGAATTTTGTTCCGTCAGGCCCCACTTTCAATGAAAACTTGAGAAAAATTTGAAGCTGCTACGAACCTGAACCCGAATTGCTAACAAATGGAGAGGATTTGGATTTGTACGCCATTCGTATCTTCGATCGCAAGATGAGGCAGACACTGTGAAGCTGAACAGCGCCGAGGGCTGCGAATTCATCATTCACAAAAAGGGCACCACGGTCTTTTAGACCTTTTGCGACATGCTTACCTCTTAGGTTGCCTCTCTCTCTGCGCCAAAAAATTAGGAGATGAAATTACTATATTTGGGTCTTTGGAGTATTTTGGGATTATATTCCGCTCTGAGAATTTGTGTAAGTCGAGCGAAGGAGGTGGTTCCATACCGGAGAATTAAGGGTTTGTAAGAGGCCGGGAAACAGTTTCAATGGAGAGGTAGGAGTTTGTTTAAGACAAGAGACACTCTATTCCCTAAGTACAACTGGCTCTGAAGAGAGGAGAGAGTCACCTTGAGCAGAAGACCAGAGATCACTCTTCTCACCACTGAGAGGATCTTTAGATAAAATGACACCAAATGTGACTAACGAACTATTTCTAAATGTGGTTTGAAGCATGCGACAGTCCATTCGTTATCTAATCACGAATTGCCTGATTTATGAACATGTGGATCTGTACCTTCACTTGGAAGGCAGAGAGACAATGAATGAGACAAAGAAGGTATTGGAAATGATCTTCGTTGATTGGGATTTGATTTCTTTTTCAAAATTGATGAAACGCAGGGGTTGATGTTTGAATGGGATGAATTGTCCTAGGTTTTTTTTGTTCAACGATCTGGGTGTCTTGTCTGGCCAAGTTTTACGGACCTCAATTAATTTTCTCTCTGGTCCGGTCAAAGACATGTCATTCACGTCGAGATTAGAGTGTTCATGTGGATAAATCCCTTATGATTGAGATCGTTAAGATTTAAACTCTCGGAAGTCTTACTCTCGTCCTAATTACTACTTGAACTACCTTTGAGATTTCATGCGGCTCTGCCGAAACTAAGGGACTGTTTGGTTTGCATCTCAAAAACTCTTTTCTATTTTTGAAAATAATTTGCGTGAGAAAAATTATTTGATCAGTTATTATTATTATTATTATTTTGAAATCTGAGAATAAAAATTGGGTAGATTTAGAGAACAAGTTAGACCTATTTTGTGTGTTTTTTGAAACAACATTTCTAGAATTTAGAAAACATCACCACCACATCCACCATCATCACCACGCTCCAACTACTACACTTCCACCAACAACCACCACCATGTCCACCACTACACCGCCGCCACACATCCACCACACTTCCACTATCATCACATTTTTGTTTTTATTGTTTTTTGGGTTATTGTCCAAATAGGTTTTATTGTTTCTGATTACGTAGAACTGTTTTTGGAATCATATAACCAAACAAGTTCTGCGACACAAAAAACATCAAAATAATTTTCTAAAACTCTTCCCAAAAATAATTTTTGAATACTGTTTTTTGAGACGCAATCCAAATAAAGCTAGAGACTAGGTATGTTTTATAATCCTTATATTTGCTGATAGTAATAGGTTATGTTGGAAAGAAACAAAGTCCAAAAATCTCAAACAAGAATTTTGGTGATTGGTATTTAACGGCGTCTCCTAAAATTAGGTTATTTGAGATGAGTAATGTACATGCTCCTGTTATAATGGATAGTGAATCTTGTTTTTACGGTCAGGAAAAATTTATATCATACATCTTATGTATTCTTATTCTTCTCCTAGCAATGTATTTTCAATTAGATATGGACTCTTTATTATGTATTTACATGGATCCTGTTGGCAGTGGAAAGGAGACTGAGTTTCACATTGAACCTGAACTGACTTTGGAATTGATGAGGCTGCTAATTATTAGCACACTTGATTACCTCCTAATTTTTGTAAGCCTTTCTACTGTATTCTTTTGACTTCCCTAAATACAACATCTATATACGTTTTACACACTGGTTATATATATAGGCACATAAAATATAAAATAAACCTATCTAGTACCCTCTTGTTCGCTGTTATTTGCCTACTAAATAGTTTTATTTATTTATTTTTCCTGTAAATTTGTCTATAAAAGCCATGCATACAAATGGAATGAACAAACATTTGCATTTTATTTTATATTTTTGTAACTCCGGGATTCTAACTAAATGATTGTTCATCAGGGATACTTGCAATGTGATTTTGCTGCCTGAGGTCTAAAGATTTGAAGGCCATAGCAACATTGATTGCTACCAAGGCATGCATTGTTGATTGTTGAAGTACAGAAACAGTTAGGAAATGATGTAGATGACATACATACAAGTAGCGGAGGATGAATTGCTATTATTGTAAACTACCTGACTTATATGTCTAGACCTTCAAACTAAATGTTACAAATTGGTCTTGCGAGTTGTAGTAGATTGATTGCTCTATTTTTGGTGAAATATTGTTCAGAATTGTAATTAGTGAATATTATCTGGATATAGGGACGAATGGCTGTAGTACCATTTTTATGTGGGGGCTATAATATGAAAATTTTGGCGTGGCATATCCTGATGGGCCATTTACTCTTTCTATTTTGGTTTTACTAGTTGTTTTTCACAAAGGATTATATGTTGCATGTTTCCTTCTACCACTAGCACTTGGAAATCAAGTGGAAGAGCTTTTGTCCTCCGGGATTATGTGGAATGATCATATAGATGTTTTTCTTTAACCTTTTTTTTCCCAAGTTGATCACATCCAGTAGCTAGGAATAGTGGGAACCGGCTACACTTGTTTTTTTTTTTTTCTCGGGTTTTTAAAAAAGTGAATTATGGAGAACAGCTAAGGGACATAAAATAGGAAATTTTATTCAGAATGGATTCATTATTTGTGGAGCATCAACTTCAAGTGCCTCTGAAGTGCCTCTGAAGGGCTTTCAAATGGAAGGGCACTTGCGAGGCCTCATCTAACTTCACTTGCAACAAGTAACATGTTATTCCCTGAACTCTATGCAAGACCCATTCTTTAAACCACCATTACATCCGGTAGATTCTGTGCAGTACTATTCAGTTCATGTTTCTAATTTGCAGCAAGATTATAGGAGCTCGATTCTATCTCAGTCCTGATGCATCAGAAGTTAAAACTGATAACATTGATTATTCACCTCAAGATACTGATGGACATGGGACACATACTGCATCAACAGCTGCAGGACGCATTGTTAGAGGGGACAGCCTACTTGGGTTGGGCACAGGACTAGCGCGTGGTGGTGTCCCTTCAGCTCGAATTGATGTGTACAAGATCTGTTGGTATTTTGGGTTTTATGATGCGGATATTCTTGCTGGATTTGATTTCCAATAGTGGATGGTGTTGACATTTTATCTATTTCTGTTGGGGGATCCTTTGCTCTGCAATACTGGGGGGATCCCATTGCAATTGGAGCATTTCATGCAATGAAGAATGGAATTCTTTCTTCGAACTTTGCTGGAAATTCAGGTCCAGGTAGGTGAACCTTGGTATATTTTTCGCCATGGTCATTGACAATGGGTGCTAGCACCATTGACAGAAAGTTTGTGAGCAAAGTGAAGCTGGGCAATGACAAGGTTTTTGAGGTAAGTATAGCTTTCCATCCTATGAGGCCTCTAGGTCATAGCCATAGGCTTAACCTCTCTAAATGAAACATCTAGGTGACATTTGTATTTTTTAACAGAAAAATGGTTTAATGATTTTTTGTCTGGCTCAAAAATTTGGGGCGGCTGACGGATAAGACAGAGATCTTTCTGCTGTTATTTCTGTTTTGGTGACGTGTAGCTCTACTAGAATTGAACTCAAGAAACGATTAGGATGCAATTTGATACACAACATATAACATATGCGTGGATTGTATTTCTACCTGCATTTAACTGTTGATGGATTGGTGCCATTTTTATTTTCTAATTACATACATTTCAGGTTTTACAAATTTGTTTCCTCTTTTAGATAAAGAGGAAATACAAAATAGTCATCTAGAAAGAAAATGAGTCTTCTCAGGTTCTAGAAAATGCTCTAAGATGACTTGTTTTTGCAAAAAGGGCGCTGCTGTCAACACATTCAATCTGAAGAATGCAGGTGATATTCTCAACACTGGAGGATTTCAACCAGCAGACTCTAGGTAAGCACCTAAAACAATGGCTTTCAGGTCGGAACTATGCTTATCTGCAAGCGGAGCTTTTTTCCGCTGGATCTTCAATTACAAATATGGTTACGTAACAGCTTAATTTAAATATATTTATCGCTTGATGAAGGTTCTGCACAGGCAATTCACTGGACCAAAGTTTAGTGAAGGGAAAGATAGTCTTATGTGATGATCTAAGTGATGGTCTTGGGCCTGCCTATGCTGATGCCTTGGGTACGATAATGCAAGAGTTTAGGATAAGCATTGTTCCTAGTGTGCTGTCTTTTAGATCAATAGGGGGATAAGCAATCTTTTGTGTTGAACGTTGTAGGTATGACAAACAGGACAGTCCTGTCCGCTTCTTTGACATGGGAAGATGGAGTTCGTCAAGTCAGAAGCCCCATAGTTGCTTTGTGTCCATATTTATTGTAGTTAAGTAATAGTGTTAATCTTCTAGAAGTCATACATCATGGTGTTGACCTTGACATTGAAAGCTTTTTATCATATAAATCTTTGTTTTGGTATGTTATAGTGGTTGCAAGTGTTTGGTTGTAGCATTGAGCAATTTTTCAATCACTTCATAGTTCTTGTTTCTGAAAAATAAAATCATTTCTTTTGGCAATAAAAAGCGGGTGTCAATCACAAGTCAAACTTAGTGCCTACTTGGTCCAACCCCTCTTTCCTTCTTTTCAAAATCTAGTTCAAAACTAATGCCTGAAAATATTAGTTTAGGTTTTAAAAATTGTTTAGGGGATATCTGAAAAAATGCTGAATGTGAGAGATTATATTCATGGTTTGCATTTTGTTGACGAGCAGTATGTAGGTGACTTCTCTATGCCAGTGGTGACTATTCCTTGTGTGCATTGCTTGACATGACAAAGGTCAGCTCAACACCATCAAACATGTATCATAAGTAGAACATTGATATATGAAGGTATTAAGGGCAGAAGGCTAACCTAGGGCAGAACTCTAAAAATTTCCCAATTGGGTCACAAAGAAGATTCTAAAGATACCGACAAACATCTTTTTGTGAATGCTGTTGAAATCTATGATGAATACATGAAGATTTCTTCTGTTCAACATTGTGTTCTCTTTAAGTGTATTGGGATTGAGTTAAGTGAGATCTTGAGGACTTTCCAGATCAATGGCTTCTTGATGATCCAGAAGTGAACGAAGTTTTGTAAATTTATTACTTTGCTCTTTTGGTGCTGTACTTTTCAGTTCAAGAATAGAGTATGAGACTAACATATACAGGGAGACACCCAGATGGATGATTGAAGTGGTCCTTTGTCACTTATCTTCCCCACCTGTTCCTCTGAGTTATGAAGATATCGTGAACACACGTAATACGCGGAAGTCTTAGGATGGTGATTCATATCGAGTTATCGTGGTATGCTTTTCCAGCCATTTTTTTTTAACATGGAAAAAGCTGAGGCAACTGATCAAAAGCTAGAATCCTTATACAAAAGCTAATTACTGCTGTTAATCCCATCAATTTAGATGTTGGATGTAGTAGGTAGTATCAAACTCAATCCTTATGCATATGCTTTCTTTTTGCATAAAATTCACTGGTGAAACAGCTTTAATGCTTTTGCCCTTTGCTGTTTTAGCTAGTGTAGTAATTACATAAAGAAGATGCTCACTCATTTGGTAAGTTATTAATTATATGAAAGAAGTGATGAATTATATCTGAGAAGATTTTACAGGAATATAATCTGGATATTTATTAGAGAAGATGTTCATCCTCTTTAATCATGATATAAATACAATGCCCAATTCTCAGTTTTCAGCAAACAACGATGGCTAAATATTATTCTGTTCCATTTCATACAATCATTTCCCTTGCGACCCTAATGATGGGCCTACCTTGTGGTGCTATTGATGAAGATAGGAAGGCAAGTTTTACTCTTACCATCTTAGGCTCTACCCATTTTCTGATGGCAATCACCACATGGAAACATCCATGCTGGTTCGGGTAGAAAATTTTCCAAAAGCCACTGTTTTAAGTGCTTATGTGATGATTCTTTCTTGTTTGGGCTGTTTATAATGAGGATGATGTTGATGCAGGTTCACATTGTGTACATGGGTTCACTTCCTGAGGGTGATTGTTCACCTTCATCTCACCACACTAGTCTTCTACAAGAAGTTATTGACAGCAGGTCACACCCGTGCTGAAGTAAATCGATTTTCATTATTTTTAATTGGTTTCCAATAGAAGATAAGCAATTTGTTGATTAATTCCCAGATGTATTTATATTATGAAGTCATTAATTTACTACCATCTCCCTCTCACCAGTGCTGGTAAGGATTACTTGGTTAGAAGTTATAAGTGGAGTTTCAATGGATTTGCAGCCACGCTTAATGACAAGGAGCAAAAACCGCTGGCTGGTAAGTATAGCAATGTCTCATTCGTGATTTCAGAAAATAGTCGGATGGCATGATGTGTGACGGCCTATAAGATTATAGCATATATTTTTGAACAAAAACATGCAGGTATGGAAGGAGTTGTTTCTGTTTTCCCTAGCAGAACCCCTCAACTACACACAACGAGATCTTGGAACTTCATGGGGTTCACTGAGGATATCAAGAGGAATCAAGCTGTTGAGAGTGATGTTATAATTGGTGTCATTGATACTGGCATCTGGCCAGAATCAGAGAGTTTTAGTGATGAATGCTTCGGTTCTCCCCCAAAAAATGGAAGGGTGCTTGTAAAGGTGGCTCAAATTTCACTTGCAACAAGTAATACTTTTTCTTATCAAAGTGTATTCTATTATGCATACTACTAAAACTATTTGATGCCACAAAACTTCTGAGAAAGTTATGGTCTTTCTTTAGAATGTCTGAGATTTTTATCAGCAATTTGAATACATTACAGCAAGATTATAGGAGCTCGATATTACTCCTCAGAGTCTGCAGAGATGTCCGCAAGGGACATAGCAGGTCATGGAGACCACACTGCATCCACTGCTGCTGGGAACAAAGTGAAAGACGTGAGCTTTTTTGGACTAGCACAAGGTAACGCCAGAGGAGGGGTACCATCAGCAAGGATTGCTGCATACAAAGTTTGTCACAAAGATACAGGATGCCGAGAGCATGATGTCTTGGCTGCCTTCGATGATGCCATTGCTGATGGTGTTGATATCATTAGTATCTCAATGGGGGGACCAGTTGTAGATGATCTTTTCAATGATGTCTTCGCAATTGGGTCTTTCCATGCAATGGAGAAAGGAATACTTACCTCAAATTCTGCAGGTAATAATGGATTCTCACCAGCAACGACATCTAGCGTGGCACCATGGCTGCTAAGTGTAGCAGCCAGCACCATAGACCGCCGGATCATTACCAAAGTTCTTCTTGGGAGTAGAATGACATTAATTGTATGCAACATGAACTTCCTAATTTTTTCACCCTTTTGTAGTATGCGTTCTGATATTTAAGGGGTCATGGAAATTTCAATTATCTCTCTATTATGGATTCTGATATTGCTTATTCAAGTAGGGGAATTCTGTAACTCCTTTCCATTAAGTGGAAAAAAGTTTCCTTTAATATATGGAGAAGACGGTGAGAATTTGTAAGTATCTTTTCCCAGTTTATCTTAGTATCAAATTCTTGAGAAAATTGAATCTGAAAATTTTGTGGTTGCATTTCAGGGAATGCAGCAGTGGAGTTTCAGACAACACTTCTGTGAAAGGAAAAATTCTGGTATGTGATCAAAAGGATAGAGGGGAAAAAGCTTTGATAGCAGGTGCAGCAGGGTCACTTATGCGAAATTCGCTTCCTGAAATCGAAATTCGCTTCCTGCATTAGCTTTAAATTCACGTGACCATGGTGTTGTCAAGTCCTACATAAACTCCACGAGGTAAGGATTCTGAGACTGCCAAACTAGAGATTCAAATTTCATTCTCACATGGGATTACTGATTTGCTGTTTTATTCTGTAACAGAGAGGCTCAAGCAAACATTCTGAGAAGCGAAGTCATAAAAGATTTTGGTGCTCCTGTAGTCACTTCCTTCTCTTCACGAGGGGCGAATGGAAAAATACCAGAGATATTGAAGGTGACTGTTTTGTAAATCCCACAAATCTTTCTCTTTACTGGTTGCTTTTATTTCAGTCAATTCATCCCTTACATGGATATGCAAGGCTGCGTTCCAGCTAGATTTAACTGCTCCAGGGGTAGATATCTTGGCTGCATTTTCACCTGTTGCCTCCCCTTCGACGAATGATAAAGATAAGAGGTCTGTAAACTATACCATACTGTCTGGGACCTCCATGTCTAGCCCTCATGTTGCTGGTGCAGCTGCATATGTTAAATCGATGCACATGGACTGGTCTCCTTCAGCCATTAAATCTGCTCTGATGACTACTGGTAATCTTTGTGCTTCATGTATTAGTTTATAAAACTTAGTCCTTTTCTTCTGTTAACTTCTTAGTTTCTTGGTCATAAACATTTCCCATGCCTACAGCTTGGCCCATGAATGCTACCAAAAATCCAGATGGTGAATTCAGTTATGGAGCTGGGCACATCGATCCACTAAAAGCAACGCACCCAGGACTTGTGTATGAGACCTTTAAAGAAGACTATGTCAAGATGCTTTGCAGCATGGGCTACAATGTGAGGAGGGTCAGGCTCATATCAGGGGATAATAGCACTTGCACTGAAAACATCGACGGAAAAACATCACCGAAAGATCTCAATTTCCCTTCAATGGCAGTGAATGTTGAAGCAAACAACCTTTGAGATTGAATTTCATAGAACAGTGACCAATGTTGGCCTCAAGAACTCCACTTACAAAGCCGAAACTGCCAAAAATTCTGTGCTGAGCATCAAAGTGGTTCCCAGAGTTCTCTCCTTTGAGTCCATAAATGAAAAGAAATCTTTTGTGGTGACTGTTTCTGGGATGCTGCCAGCAGAAGTAGTGGCTTCTTCTCAATTGGTGTCGTCTGATGGCACTCATATTGTTCGAAGTCCCATTGTTGTTTACAATACAATCTTGGTTGATCAGAACTCCATTGAATTTGATTAGCACATTCCAATTCTTGCTATCAATATAGCTTTATAACTACCTTTGTCTTTCATAGTTTATTGTTCCTTATTTTGATGAATTCGAACAAATGAAAAGGAACACAAAAGAATGTTGACAGTAAAAGCAGAAGTTATCATCCATTTATGCATCGACAGAAAAGAACAGTGTACTGAATTTCCGCAGCCAAACTAGCCGCAAAGGAAAATTGTTTGGGATTTAGAGGTTACTATACTGTACTTAAATTACTACAAACAACTTAATCTAGTGAGATTACACCAAAAGGAAATTGTTTAGGATCAATTTACCGGGAAAAAACAGAATTTAGAGGTTATTTGTCAAATGAAACAGTCCCACATCCTCATGTCAACAAGGTTTATGCTCTCTCTCTCTCTCACACCAATCTGTGCTCCACAATCCTTTAAAAAGCTGCAATCTCAAACTACAATTAAACGTTAAAGGCAGACGAACATACTTCCTCTGTGTGGTGTCTACTTCTCCTGTGTTTAGAGGCATAAATCACATCTCTCCAAGCAACCCCATATTCAATACTTACAAAGCTTAAAGGATCTTTCAAATTGAATGCTCAATTCTATTGGGCTCGCCCCTGCCCTAAAACAGTAGTTTGTTGCATCACTTAATACATACGTGGAACTACATAAAAGGGCATCACACTACTTTAGCCGAATTGAGATTGATACTTGCAATATATATCTCTGTTTCTGCTATCGCTTGAGATGCAAAGAAACAGCCTTTCATAGGCAGCTGCCATCTTGGCGGCAGTGAACAACTCCACGCCTCTTTGCCTTGCCAATTGACCTTTCTTCTCCAAAATACCTCTTCCATCTTCCCAAACCTCATAAAGAGCCTTCTTTAGTGAAGATACTGTAGGTGAAAATGTATAACCCATTTCTTTACCGACAATTACAGACCCTGTGATGCTGGCAAGCCTAGTAGCCATTACTGGCTTACCGGAGAGTATGGCTTCTAACAAAGTGTGATCCAACCCCTGAGCTCGAAGAGTTGGGTTCACAAAAATATCTATTGCATTATAAAACCTTGACATTTGAGCCTGTTCTAATGGCCCCAAAACCAATAAATTGGCTCCAAGATCTTTGTATCTAGCACCCCATGGACCATCACCAGCAACGAGAACAATAACACTTGCCTGAAATGTAGAATTTTCCATGAACATTTGCTTCAGAGCTTCAAACATCAATGGATGCCCTTTATCCTTCACCAATCTCCCTGCCATTCCCAAAATCAACGCTTTAGATTGTGAAATACCAATCTTCAGCTTAAAGTCCTTACCCTTGGACAAATCAGGATTGAAAATCTCCTCATCTACACCATTGAGAATAGTATGAACTCTTTCTTCCGGTATCATGTAAATCCTTTTAAGGACATCCCCGCAATGATCGCTAGTGGCAACGTGGTGAGCATAATTTTGGAAGAACTTCACCTCTTCAACAACCTTAAAAGCTCTCGCAGTCAATGCATATGCCTGAGATTCTTCAGAATTCCGCAAAACTTCTTGAATGATGTCGGAATGAATGGCTTCGTATGCAATCCCATGCCACGTAACAGCCAGGTTGGTCAGACTCCGTGATCGAGTATGCATGATCCCTGCACTTTCAGTATGGATCACATCAAATGGTTTTCCAGTTGAGTTTTGGGTTTGAAATTGCTTCCAAACTAGAGCTTGGTCCAGATAACCTGCAGCTGTTGGTTTTGTGAGGTGAAAATACAAATTGCTCATTGGGTATCTTGGGAAAGATGAGTTTGCTGGTGCCGTGGTGAAGATATGGAGCTCATGGCCTCGCTTTGCAAGGGCGAGGTGGAGGGTCAAAGCATGCCGTTCAAGCCCACCAGCTTGATATTTGTTTGGCCATTTCTTGACAAAGAGGGCGATTTTTAGAAGCTTTGGAGGTGGTTTTGAGGGAAAAGCAAGCTGGTTCCAAGCAGAAGAAAATGTCAGGAGGTTAACTGGTTGGTTTTGCTTCTGCACCATCATTTGGGCATGGGAATAGCGGGGGCCAGAGCAACAAGACCAATAGAGGAATGAGATAGATGAGCATGCAGATAGGAGTAAAAGAATGTAGCAGAGGAAGCGAAAAATAGAGATTCTGACATGATTCTTGGCCATAGTAGTGCACAAGGAATAGAACAAGAACACTTCAGTTTATTCTTTGGAGCAATTCGTCGAACAACTGGTGGATTATATTGGTACCAAGCAAATGAGAACAGTACAGACTCAATAAAACTGAAGAAAATTTGCTTGTATTTGAATAAGGGGGCAACTGTTTCAAGGAAGCAACACAGTTCTTGCAATGATTGTTTCTTTCACTAATTTCCTTATCCTGTTGTGGATCTAAAATAGGGCTGCACAATGGTCAACCGGTTTCAGAGAAGCAGATTCTTGACTCTGGCTATCCCAAAGTAAATTACTTAAACATTAGCAGGCTTGGTTGACTTCAAGGCTTAAATAACCTGCTCTAATCCCACCCACCCCCCTTCTTTTCATTATAAAGCAACCCAAAATGGCTTTCAGGCCTAGGTCACTGGCACCACCAGAAAACAATACTAATTAGTTAAACAATAAAATATGACTAAACCCAACATTACCCCATAAAATCAGCTTAAATGCTGCACAGCCTCCTAATAATTCCTTATATATAATCAAATTGCCATTTGATTTTTATGTTAAACTAAACAGATTCGAGAATCCCTAAAAGTTCATGTAGCTCAAGTACATGTTCTACCAGCTAAAAAACACTTGAACCACAGAAAAATAATTCACTTTACTTTCACATTTATACAACCCTCTATGCAACCTGATCAGCATAAACTCATCACACAATTTTATTTTGATGATTGAGCTTAGCTGCCCTGCAATAAGATGCCCTTGCCATGATGAACTAATTTGGATACTTTATTCTCCTGTTCCTTCTAACAATTTTTTTTCTAGATATATCTACACATGTGAACAATCAACTATTACAATAAGTTACTTAGATATATCTGCAGTCTGCAGATCAGTACTTACATGAACAATCAACTATTAATTTTCGAATAATGCACATTGATAAAGATCTGCCTTTTATCCTCTTGATTACCAAACTATAGAGTTAAAAGGTTGATGAATTAGGTTAGGCCTTATTGGTTCTGTTCCTTACACATACAAATAAACACAACACCGATTTATAGGATACATTCAACCCATAAATTCAAGCATTATCTCCCTTCCAAATTTGTTTAAATAACTAGATTGTTTAGTAAGGTTGCTTCATTGTGTCCTGAGTCGCGGAAACAATCTTTCTATTTCCATACATTTAACCCTCTTAGTCATTGTATGCAACTCTTCTAACACTCTGCAATGACAAAAGCCTCGTGCCCTGAGGATGTCATTTTACTAGATTGTTCATTACAAATAAGTTACTCTACCGAGTAAAGGAATACAACACAAGGTATATATAGATCACAAGTGCAGATGGTACCAAGATCACCAATGGACCAAAAGTGACGGCCAAGCTATACCAACTCCAACAACCCAATATTCCAAGCTTAATCTGAACCAAGTCCACCATTGCCACAGTCAAGAACACACACCCCAAAACCGAGCCAGCCGCCGATGCCAATATCCCCATTCTCAAAACCTTCAAATTAACATACGCAACGCTTCGCAACCCAACCCCATGCTCTCCCTCCTCGGAACTCCTAATGGCCTGTTTCATCCCCAAGGCAATAAGACTAGAGAAGAGAAAGGAGCTGAATGAGTATACATGGAAGGCCACAAGGTCTTCGGCTATGGAGGAAGTGGCAGCGCATGCGGTAGCGGTGGCGTCGACGAGGATGTAGTTGGGGTCGGTTGGGTTCCAGGTGAGGCCGAGGAACACGGCGAATGTGAAGAGTGAGTTGACCGTAACTACGCCATCTAAGGCGGCGATGTGGATGGTGGTGGTGGTGATTTTGTTGAGAGGGGCTGCGGTGGTGGTCATCGGAGTGTGGCAGAAGGGGGATCGGAAAAACAGAGAACTGACTCAATGGCATTTCTTTAATTAATTTGTTGGCATTTGCTTTGTGAGAATTGAGGAGTGGCGTTGAAGTTAGAAACTGGAATGGTATGAGTATCTTTTCTAACGTTTCTTCGGCGGCAATAGATAGAACAAAAAAAAGAATATCTAAAACGCCGTTGCCGGGGATCGAACCCGGGTCACCCGCGTGACAGGCGGGAATACTCACCACTATACTACAACGACAAGTTGTTGCAAACTGTCAATTTTCAACTAATTTAAAGACTTACTGTGACAGCAAACAGTTACATGTGTTTCTATTGACATTTTCTCTTGCAAAAATCATCCTGCTGCTCGTGATACCATCATGGTAAGAAATTATACTTCACATGAGCCATACACTTGGTAGTTGTCTTAAAAAATTACTTTTCATTTTGTTCAAGAAGTAATCCTTCATGCTTTGGACTCATAACTGTAATGCCCCCCAAAATTTGATAATTAGAAACTTATTTAATTGTAGCTCTCATATCTCCACACAAGATGATAATGAATGAGGATGGAGGGAATATTTGTGTTGGTTGTCCAGATGAGACTGATCAAATTGCATGTCAAGTAAAACACCATAAACCATCACAAACTTACAGGGTATATTTTTCCTCTAAAATTTCACACACTCAAGACACTTTTTTCTCCCAAATTTCACAAACTCAAAACACAATTCAGAACGCATATCTACACACACTCCAACACACATACACTCGTTATATACACACTTCAGTTGTACACATATATGCCATAATAATAAACTTGGGCAGTCATGGCTTTAGAATAAGGGGTTCTCTTGTTCATCATCCTCCATCTATATCTCCTGAAACAACAACAAAAATCACATGACCCACATGTGAGAAAGACACTCAATAACAAAAAACTGTGATCAATTAACAAAGAAAAAAGAGAGAGTCATCGTTAAAAAGGATTCTTCATGAATGTGAAGGGGTTATTTATATATTACTCAAATGTGAATCAGAACAATAATGAAATTTAAACATAGAGAAGAGAAGTTAGGAACTAAGAAGTAAACAGTTACCGAGTAAATTACAAGTTATTGAGATGGAAATCACGTAGTTGCAAAGATAGGATGTGAGAACCATAAGATTTTGTCCACTTAATTTTTATTTAATGTACAGTGACTACTAATCAACTATAAAAATAAATCTCAAATCCATACCGATATTCAAGTTACACCTCTCCATCAGCAACTCATCGGAGGCAGGTCCGAGGTCTTCCCAGATCCCGGCGACGATTTCTTGAAAACCCTACTCCCAAACGCCAAGAACCCCACCGTGTGACCTCCCACAGCCATCAGAAATACTCCTACATTGAAGGACATGACAGCCAGCATCACCATGTAAGCAAGTCCGATCCTTAAACCGTACAATAGGGTCTGAACCAGACCAGCCGCAACGTGGTTCGAGTCTTGTTTGATGAGGTTGCAGTGAGAGAGCCATTCGACGAGCAGGGCAAGAACGAAGACGAAAATGAGGGCCAGAACGTACATGCCCAGGTTGTCTGAACCGGGCCAACCGTCGAACAGAATGTCGGCATTCTTGCCCCAGAAGAAAGTCATGTGCATCATCATGTGATGGCGGCGGTGCATCATCGTCATCCCCGAGCCATTGTTCATCATGCCTCCCATGCCATGCATATGAGCACCGTCGTTCATTCCGGCCATCTCTCTCCCCCTCTCTCTGTGTGGAAGTTGTTTTTGTGGCTGGGAAATGAAGGATTTGGGGGATGTGGTGGTCCTCTAATTGAATGAGTTTTGTTGTACTCATCGAGGAGGAGGAAGACGAGGACAGGTTGTTTGTTACGATGTTGTTAAACGAGCGTGTTCGTACAATGCAGTAATTCTTTTGTAGTACACAATAATACAATTGGGGTTTGAATGTTGCTATGCATTAGACCAAAGATTCAAGAGGCTAAAGTCTTCAAAAATTTTTGTAGGAAAGTCTGTATCGATTTTTTTGTTTTTTTCTGATATTGTACCCCGGTGAGAGAAGACCACAATCGATTATCGTCGGCCAAAGACTTTTGGTTTCGATCACAATTTTTTTATAATTGATTATAAAAATTGTAACTTATATTTTAAAAAAGTTAAACCTAGGGATGCAATTTGAGCGGACTAACCCGAACTCAATTTGAAAAAAAAGGCATGAGTTAAAATTTTTAATATTTCAGTTGGACTTAGACAAAAAAATTCTAACTTGAATTGAATTTAAGCAAGCCTTTGGTTGTCGAATTCAACTCGAATATTAAAATTGGGTTGAATCCGAATATATATAATATATTTAACAAGGGTTAATATTTATTTTCACTTTTTAAAGTCCAAACTTTCACTTCACTTCAAGTTTTTATCTCTGCGCATCCATCACTCTCAGATCCCTCTCTCACTCGTCACTCCTCCCTCTCTCTTCATTTGCGTCTCGCTCTTCATCTCAGATTTACACTTGAAAAAATTAAATTTATACTTTAAAAAATTAACCCAAATTAAGTAACCTATGTCCAACCGATTTTTAATCCGAAATCGGTCCGAATTAAATAACCGGAATTCAACTCGAATCCGCTCGAATTAAACTCTGGCAATACTTGGGTTGAGTACCTCAGATTGAGGTAAGGTTAAGACTAGGGCTGAAAATTATATACTTAGAATTAGATTAGAGTTGACCTCTCAACCCACCCGAGATATACCCTATTTATACCTCCCAATTTGTCCTAGTATTTACAAGAAATTGCACCACAGTCATCTTCGTATCGGTCACCAAAATGGCAGATTCATTATCATCAAAACTAGAACAAATTAACTTTTTTAACAATCTGGAATCAACTATAGAAAGTATATTTAATTTCCTCACATCTCCAATATGAAAAGGCATATAAACATTGTGATGTGGAATAACTCACAAAAACATTATACATTTTCAATCAATCATTTGGGTCATCATCGAGTCATGTATGAACTCAATCTCATTACATGAACTTGGGCTGAAAGTAAGAGAATACTAGGGATTTACATAACATTCAATTTCTTTGTTTTATTTTTTTCCATAATAAATAGATCAGTGATTATGTGTCAGGAGGGGTCTAGACCCACCCTAATTTTTTTTTTTCACTTATATATGTTTTATTTATTTATTTTTGGATATTTTTAATTAGGTCTACCTTAATGATTTAAGTAAAAGCGATGTTACTGAGACCTAATTTAGACTTAATTCACTATAATCTTTAAATTGATTGTAACTTCTATCAAACATTAGAATTTGATATTAATCTAATAATTTCAATGAAATCACAACATTAGGTTAGTAAATTAGATTGAATTTTAGGAAAAACAAAACTAATTGGGTCAAACAAGCTGAGTACTAGAACAAAAATACAAAAAGTTCATATCAAATCTCTTAAAATTAGTAAATTAAAATTGATTTGTATGTATAATGCTCATGTGTTGTTAGAGTATCAGTATGATTTGTTGCAACCTTCTCTGGTTCAAAAATTATAGAATATAGACCCAAAAAATGAAAAAAAAAATGAAATATTAAAGAAGATTAAAAATTATAGAATATTACTTTTATTTGTGTCAATTGATCATTGATGTAAAGATGTTATCTTATTAAATTTTTTCAAACAAATACTTTTTATGTTTAATAAATTTTTAAAGTATCAAATATGACTAACAGAAAAGTAATATATCACATTATTTTTTTATCTAAATAGAGAATAAAATAACACTTGTATACTCTAAATCATATTTTTGACGTAAGAAACATTATATATAAATGAATCTTAATCAATTTTGGTAAATAATTTATCATTAAATAATAATATATGGAAAGAAATCCAACTTTGAATAGCAGAAGTTCAGAACACCAAGTACAATGACATCAAAGCCAGTTCACAGTTGGTAGGAAGTTCATGTCTGTTGTTAATCCTCACATATATATTAAATATATTTGTTGAGAAGTCATACTTTGTTAGACCACTAGTAATTACGGGGAAGTGTGGGGAACCGAAAAAAAAAAACACATTCCACGTCTCTTATAATTAAATCTAAATTTAACGACACTCTTATTGATTTTGAAACTTCGTTATTACCCTCTTTTAGTGTTTGTCGGGTTACGTCGTTAACGATAATTATTAATTTAAAAAAATATTTTTAAATATTTTATAAGTTAAATTTTATCCACACTTTTTATAAATAGACATAACTTCAACAACACCCTCTATAAGTAGATATATTTATAACAATACTCTTTTTCGATTCTAAAATTTCAATGCACTCTTTTTTAGTTTTATTATATTAACTTTTAAATTCATCAATTTAATATTTAATTTTATTAAATTAATGTCATTTATTTAATTTTAAACTAAATTAACATTTTATCTCATCAAATCAACATAAATTGATAATTAATTTTATCAAATTAACATTTAGTTATATTAATTTAATATTTTATTTTATCAAATTAATATTATTTATTTAATTTAACATTAAATTATTATTTAATTTCATCAAATTCATACCAAATTGACATTTAATTTTATTAAATTAAAAATTAATATATTAAATTACATTAATTTTACATTTAATCTTATCAAATTAATGTCATTTATTTAATTTAACATTAAATGAACATTCAATTTTATTAAATTTTATCAAATCTGATGAGTCCGAATTTTACTGGGTCAAGCCCAATAAAAATAAACCTAGAAAGTCCAAAGAAAAGTCCAAGAATAGATGGATCGACTAAGGAGTCAAGTGAGAGTCCAAAACAGAGACCAAACCCATCCTCCAAGGGGGCGCTGCCCAAGGGACAAAATGGGCGCCGCTCAGGGTACCCAAGGGGCACCACCCATGAAGATTCCAAGTGGGCACCGTTCATGCCTTGCCCGTCCTTCTCTCCTCACTTCACTCCAATGCAAGTCCAAGATCACTCTGGGTCCAAGCTCAAAGTCAAGTACGAGCTCAGTCCAGTTTAAGACCCTCCTCCGAAGAAATCGGAGTATGAGGGAGAAAACATCAGAATAGGCACGGAGATCTCCTACAATAGTTGTACTTACTAAAACAGTAGAAGTCTTTCGTCTCACGTCACCGCCTCATCACACCTATATAATGTAAGTCATCTCCATATAGAGGGCATGCTCTCATAACCTGGAGATCCCTACACACATAGCTCATCTCCCTCTCCAAAGCATTGTAATACATCGGAGTTACTCTCCCAGTAACAATGTTCATTAATAAAATACTTTAGGCCACCGTCGCTGTTCCTGAGAGGGGAGTTGGTTACCTGGACCGAACCACTATAAATCTTTGTGTTGATTCCATATTTACTGTTTTGTCATTTATTGCCTATTTACTATTCATGAATTGTTTTTATTCATATTCTTGACTGTTGATCTTGTGCAATACTGATTTGTGGATTATCAAAATCAACACTAAATATAAATATCAAATTAACACCAAATTAATATTTAAGTTTATCAAATTAAGCCCAAATTTATTCAATTATTATTAAAATTCATCAAATAATATTTAAATTTTAGATATGAAGGGTGATGGGTGAATAGTAGTTCAGTGACATTGTGGAAGACAAATAATAGCAGAAGAATTAGAACTGAATGAGATTTTGACATAGACTTTATTGATTATAATTTTTATTATAGAAAAATTATTTTTAACTATAAAAATTATAAAACCTCAATTATGTAACCAAATGAGTGATAATATAATTACTAATATTATAACAAAGTTATCATGCAACGCTTTAAAATAATAAAAATTCATTGAAATAATATAATGATAGAAATCACACTTATGTCAAACTCCTCCCCCCATATCTGCCTTCACCAATAGTTGAAAAAGACATCAATCCTATAATAATACATCACAACATATTGATATAACAAAGTAGAAGAAAAAAATTAAAAAAAAATATGCAAAAAAAAAATTAAAAAAAAAATTGCATGAACAAATTTTAAAATCTCTACAAGAAAAAAATTAAAAATATTTGCATGAAAAAAATTATAAAAAAAAACTCCATGAAAAATATTTACAAATCAGCAAGAAAATATATATATATATATACCAATTTAGATAGTGAACAATCACCGTGTAGAATGAATTGAAGGAATGACCGACTTCAGTCCCCTATGTCTTCCAACAACACCAGGTTGTTTTTGACTTTCGACAACAACAAATGATATGATATATAGTGGGAAAAGGGTTAAGGGCATTTTAGTATATTTACATAAAGAAGAGAATTTTTGACATTTTTAGAAAATTTATAGTCAAATTTTACATTTTTGTACTACAGTTAAAAATTATCCATAAATGAGTATTTTTGATTTGAAAGTATAAACTAGAAGGGAGTGCACTGAAGTTTCAAAATCGGAAGAGGGTGTCATTGAATTTAGACTTAACTAGAGAGAATGTAAATAAAATTTGGCCAAAAAAATTTATATGACATCATCGGTTATCATTTTTTATAATAAAGTTATAATTATTCAAAAAAAAGACTATGGTCGATCACGGGTTTCCCTTAAATAATTGTAATTTCTTTCTTATGAGTTGAAACTTAATTTTTAAAAACTTTAATTTTGATATTGATTATAATCTTTCATGATCAATCAAGTCTATTATAAATTGTAATTTAAACTTTAAAAAGATTATAATTTAAA